CTACAATAGTATAAACAATCTAATATGTAGAAGATGATTACAATATCATATTAAAACACTTCAAGAAATCAATTTTATGCGATTTCAAAGAAAATTTATAACTATGTTTATAATAATAATAATATTGTTTACATTATCTACATAAATACTGGGGTGTTATATTAATAAAAGATTAAAAGAATCCAAACTGTTTATATTAGAAGCGATACGATGGCATGAATCAATATAGCTAACTTTAGAAAATGAGCGATTATCACTTTAACTTAATGACTTATTTGTATTAGCAGTTATATAAATGATTAAATATAATATTAAATACGAAAAACCATATATTTGTATACTTTTCTAAAAAAAAAATCTATATTAAAATATTCTGTCGAAATTCGAAAATGTTAAACATAGTAAGTAACATAAAATATTTTATCATATACTCAATACACTACACATCATTAAGGTATTTAAATAATTTTAAAAGCGTGATTAAAAAATAAAGGAGTACCCAGTTTGTAGACTTTGTTGGCAGCACTGTTTCAATGACATATGTTAAACAGAACTGTGATTCAAGATATCATAGTTTAGTTTAAAATTTGCTTTTTAAGAATATTGATCATTTAACAACCGATAATGCTAATGAACTAAAATTTAACAAATACAAAAACTATGTTAATGAACTTGCTTTTATTCAATTTAGTCAAATTAAATAAAATTATAATAATACTACATCAGTTTATTTCTATAATTTATATCATAGATCTTTCATAAATATATATCCATTCCATAGCAGAACATATGTAGTATTTTCAGTTCTTTAATCTCATAAACTTAGTATTGTAAAATTCATACCGTACGTAATAATACTAGCAAATTCATATTGTAAAACTGCATTATACTCTGCCAAATCTTTTCTCAAAAAATTATTTACCAAAATCACTTTATAAATGTATGGAATACTGGGTGTATCGATAACATATCCCACGTACCAACCTTATGCGGGTGAACCTTTAACTATTCCACAAAAACTAAAAATAGTGCTATACTATATATATAATTACAATGATTGTTAAAAGCAATTTTTCACTTTATAAATAATTTGTATAGTGCTTTGCATATGATTGATATATAAATATTTATGCGAAAAGTTTTTCATTTGCAAGTCTTTTGACAATGCTTTGTACGTTAATCATTGTTTTAATATCTATATTTATATCCTTATTTTAAGTAATATAAAATATAGAATCTGAACTATAGTATTTTCAGTTACATGATTATATAATCTCTTAATATTAATAATTCATACCCTACCCTATAATAATGTCAACAAATTCAAATATTGAAATTATACTATACTTTAAACAAAAAGTTAGTTTAAAAATTTATTTAAATATTTTTATATAAGAAATTATATTAAAAATCAATTAAAAGAAATTTAAAAATTACTTTAACTAAACTTATTACTATTTACTAACTTATAAACTATTTACTAAAATAACGTTAAAAATATATGGAATACATACTGGGTGCATCATACAATAACCCGCAATTCATGCTCATGCAGACGATGCCCTTACTGACACAAATTTAAAATAGTGCTTATATATAATTGCAATAATTGTTAGAAGCAATTTTTTTTTAGTCAGTGAATTTTTACTATATAATACATTAAGCCATGACTTCTATAATGATTATGTGAACTGGTTGATATAAACAAATTTAAGGGAAATGTTATCGTCTCGTTAAACGTTCTGTTATTTAATATTTTATATATACATTACTTCAAAAATTTTAAATAAAATGCAGATATTTATTTATAAAATATACTTCAATTATTTGGTTTAAGTATAATAAGTAAAAAAGATTTTTTCAAGGAATAACTTTCAACGTGTATATTATAGAATATTTCACAGTGCCTATTATTCTCATATAACTCTTATATACAATAACTTCAAATGAATTCTGTTTCTAATTTTATTTTGTTTAATGAACTTCTTTAAATTAAACTTAGTCAATTATTAATATTCAAGCCAAATTATAACATTATTATTGATGTATTTCTTTAATTGAAATAATAGACATTTATAAATATCTCCTTCAACATAGTAGCAGACCTATAGTATAGGTACCGACATGAATCTCTAATCTCACGAGTTATGATTGTTAATATCATACTCTTCATTGTAATTTCGGCTTATTTATATATTAATTTTTTTTTTAAATCAATTTATAAAGTTAAATATAAAATATTAACATTTACCAAAATTGCTTCAAAAAATTAACTACCAAAAATTCACTAAAAATACATGAATACATACTAAGTCAAAAATATATCACGAAATATTTCAGCTGAAATTGATGACATCTTCAACGCTATTCGGAAAAATAGGGACAATCAACCACTATATTAAATAGTATTGTCAATTAATGCACTACTTTACTTAAAAAATTAGTATGTATTCCTTTAAAATAATTTACTCATAATATTCTATAATTAAGATTAATTATTTATTAATTCTAATTATATTGTATTATTTTTTTTTTGTTTTTATCGATGCGGAATAATCAACTATTTCCTAACATTAATCAAATGTTATTAATAATATTAGTTTAGTTCTGGATATTATTCTATATGATATTATTCTATATGGCAAAGTATAAGATTTTGATTTTTTAATGCTTAGCTAAGTTGTCTACTGTTTTTAATTGACAATATTCATAATTAAATGAACATATTTAATCATTCTTTTTGTTTTTTCGCAAAATTAGCTAACGAAATACGTTTTATTCTATAGTGATTTTTCTTAAGTTCAAATATTGCATTAATAAAATTAATCACATATGGAAATATGAGATATATTGCTAATTGATGTCAAAAGTGGTTTTCAATATGAATTGCCTTTACAACAGTAAATAATGAGTCATTGAGTAAGACTCGAGTAAGTAAGAAGAAATAAACCGATTATAAAATAGGGTTATTTCATCAAATAATGCTACAAAACATTTAAATATGATCAAAAAGACATTCATAATCCACCTCATGTCAGTGATCGTTCTTGGGATCAAACTAAAGAAAGTACTATAAAATGAAGGAATTAATATTATTCATCGTTTCGTCTTTGTTGAGATAGTTTCAATCAAGTTCTAAGGACAGGCTTCTTAAAGACTCTAGTAATAAATAACAGTAAATAAGTCAACAAACATCGGAATGGGAAAAAAAATAAACTGAAACCGTAAAACTTATATCAATATAGTTCGGATATAGTTTTCTATATATATATATATATATATATATATATATATAGTTTAATATAGTTTTCTTTTACTGTCGTGATGTGATTCGTTCTGAATTTATACCGAAAAGTTAGGCAGTCATTAAAAAATATTATCTAGGTATTATACGAAAAAACAACAATAGTGCTATTCATATTATTCGGATTTCTTTAAAAACCAAAGTTCTCAGGTTGTTCGATTATTCGGATTCACCGGAAACTTCTTAAAACTGGATTTAAACAGCACTAGACAACAATTGAATTTTACATCACGCTAATACAACATAACACAAAGCTGTCATTGAGAGTGAAAAACAAACGCACGGAAAAAACTAAGGGCCATTCCGAATTCTGCCTAAAACAAGTCTATAAATATGTTAACTTGATTAATCCTAACGACATGTTTACTGTTTCAGAAGTGAACTGATTTTTAAATGAATATTTTGTGTTTTCTTAATAAAATCGAAGTCAATATTTTACAGAATCCATTTTTAATGTGTCATCACTCTGATAGTGGTGTGTTTTTACAAGAGCTATATGGCATTCAGAGGCCTGGAGTCCTGAAAACACTTTAAAAACTGTCTGGTAATGCTAACTCAGGTATAGAGCTTCGAGTGCTCATTTGAATCGAAAAATTGCTTACTAAAAATGTACACAGAGTTTAGGTTCTGGGTTAGCCAGAAACCAATAGGTCCATGGGTGGTTTACGAGTAGATAAATTAATTTAAAATAAACTATAACAAAAAATGTTACGCATTACGTATAACTAACTATATGTACTTAATATATTAATATGTGTGTGAATATGCTCTAATTAAGTGTATATATTTTAGAAATTTTTAACCTGTTTTATTTATTACTCGTATCTTTAATAATTATCTTTAATATTTATTCGCCTTATGTTGCTCACTGCTTGAGTGCGTGTGTGGCATGAAGAAATTTTCACTCAGCAATATAGTCGATACTAGACTTCATTCAATGCTTCTGTCTTCCAATACAAATGTGTGCACATTAAATGTGTATCTCCTTTATATTTGATTATATCAACCTATTTATTGGTTATTTACTTAAGTAACAAAAGCAACTGCGGCGTTGCTTTAAGAGGATTAAAAGTTTGTAGCTGCAATAAATTCAATATGTCTCAAACGCTGACATTAAACGTCAACCATCTTCAGCACCTGATAATAAAACATTGGGAAAAAGAAAAACAAAACATGAATTTATAAGAAAAAATTACAAAGCAAATAAAGTATGTCGTTTAGAACCAGGTGAACGTATTTACAACACTCAAGTAGGAAGAAATATAGGCTATTTTCAATACAATTGACACTTTTATAGTTTCTGTCAGAACAGTAAAGTACCCGTCACTTACCATATGAAACGCTTCCGATGCTCAGAAATACACAATCGTTGAAAACTTCTAGTGCAGAATTGTTATTTTTAGTCCAATGCTGAAGAAAATGGTTATTGAAGGAGTTTAAAGTATTTAAAGCTGAAATAATGATTTAAATTTTTTATAATAAAATTTAAAATGAACATAAATGTAAGCAAAGAATTTCACTTCGAATTTTCATTTTAGTTTCAGAAAATTGCTAAAATTGTAAATTTTGAATCACATTGGTCATTTCATGCCATTTTAAGCTTTAACCTTTATTGTTATTATTATTTTTATTAATTCAAATATTTTATTTTACAAAATTCCATTGTTAATTAATTTTAAAAACTTTTCCTCCTCAGAAATATGTTGTTAATACGGAAAAAAGTGGCGATTTGACTGTAACAGTACAAGTAAGTAATCGTAACTTAATTGAATTTAATTCCAAATTAATTAATCAAATTTTAATGATGTCTTCAACTAAACAATATGAAATATACTTCTCTTATAGGGGGACTTGTCGCAACAGGAAAAGCGTGCTGTTTTCTTAACTGTACATGATTTGGGATGTAATCGTAAGTGGAGTGCAATTAATATTTTTCATAAATTTATATTACTCTAACCAATAAAAATTTACTTTAAACATTCATAATAATAATGTTATGAATCCGAATGACAACGTAGATACAAAGTAAATTAGATAAAAACAAATATATTAAACATATTCCCATCATCGCTCTCTATCCACAAACTGTATTCACAAGTATTTCTTTCTTAGTAATTATGTCCATGGTTTCATTCTTGGTCAATAATTCGAGTCATATTCTTTTAAGTATATAATTTCTTAAACCATCTATATATAGAGGCAAACACACTCGTATTTGTTTAAAAGTATATACAATCAATAATAGCACTTTTAACCTTAATGGATTGAATTTAAAGTCTTTTTATAATAATTTATGAGCGAATAATTTATGATCATTTAAATTAAAATAAAAAAATTATAATTTATTATTTATATTTAACACAAATTATTTTATTAACATATTTTCCGATATTTCGACTATCTTCCATAGTCATCTTCAGGGAAACTCCCTGAAATAATAGTTATCAATTGATAAAAAACTCTATGAATATATTAATAAATCTTTATATGGAGTAGAGAAATCGCTAATATTACCTCATTAATAAACCAGCACAGTGAAATTTGAAGATCAACTACATAATTGTCAGTATTATTGGGTAAATAAAAATAAAACGGTTTAGGAAATAGGTATTTAGTAAATTTTAGTAAATTAAATATTTCCTTTTTCCTTTCAAACTGTGCAATTCAAGATTATTTTTAATTATTGTACTAAAATCAATAAATATAAGAATTAAATATAAATAATAAGTCATTATAACATATAAAAATAAAGTAACTGATTCGCCTTCATCTTTTCTTATCATCTCACTGTCTCCTACAGTGGATATAGTAATATGGCACAATCTAACTGGTATATTAACAACCAAATAATCTGATATACCATATAGTTCATTTACTGAACCACTGTCCAGCACTTTCAAAAAGTCGTCCAAACACTATGTTTTTCTAATTCCTTTAATATCTATTGCTTTACTCATCCAAACGACACAGTGATTTAGAATAAAGATATCCAAAACTGCCATACCTAACTATCGTTTCAAAGCTTCTTTCAAAGAAATTCTACAAGAAATGAATTATTTAACTTTGGACAACGTTTAATTCCTATTCCGTACGTTTTAAGTAAAAGTACAAAAAAAAAACAATCGACTGGTTTTGATATCTAGTTTTTATTATAATTTGTTGTATTTATTTATAATATTATTATCAGAGTAAGTTTATCCTTTATTTTTCATCTGATTTTAGATAATTCGTTCCAAGAGTTTGTTAGCAGTCCTTGCATGACTGAAATAAAGGAGCGTTCTTGTTTTATTCATATAGACGTGCCAGGGCATGGAGATAATGCTGATCCACTTCTTGATTCGTAAGTAAAAATACTGTATTAATATTTAGATATATATATAATTATTTAATTGCTTTCATTTCGTTACAGCTTCCAGTTTCCATCGTTACAAATGCTCGGTGAAGATCTTGTTACAGTTTTGGACTTTTTGCACGTCAAATATGTTATTGGGCTTGGTGAAGGTGCTGGTGCTAATGTTTTGGCTAGATTTGGTTTAGCACATCCAAGCCGTGTGCTTGGTTTAATACTTATAAATGCTACTGGTAGTGCTGCAACTGTACTACAATCTTTTAAAAATAAGGTAAACCTTTATCAAAAAATTTTTTTAATATCATATATTATATTATTATGATAAATCATTTTACTTAATTTCAGTTCATTTCTTGGAAGAATGACGAAGTTGCACAATCGGCTGAAAGCTTCTTAATGTATCATAAATTTGGACACGTAAGTATAACTATTATTTACTAACAATTAAATATTAAATAATTTAATAAATAAAAATACAACAGATTTTGTTTAAAATAAATGTTGTGTTTTAAATGTGAATAAATGTGATTTAAGATATTAATTAATTTTTTTGGTGTATTTTTTTCTTTTGATTTTCTTTCTTTTTAAACCAACCAATAAAAATTAAATAAAATTATAAATTTTATTATACGTGGACAACTTAAATAAAATGCATACAAAATACACTGTTAAAAACTCAAACACCGTTGACTACAAATTCAAAGGTTATCGAGGTACGATAACTTTTCATTTTCACAACTTTATACTCCCCTACCGGCAGTCCTGTCTTAACTGCTTAGAAGCCTTTTTTGTAGCATACTACTTTCCTACTACTTCTCATTTAGTAACCGCTTAGATCCGTTTTTAAATTTTGTTAATTTATTTTATTTGTTTTTATTAGCTAAACTATTGTATTTTTATACAATTTGAAAAATCAAATGAAAAATTAAAATTAAACATTCCAAGTGTAATTAAGATAATTGGAACATTTAAACACTGCTAAATTTAAATCAAAATCTGATCAAATATATCCTTTAATTTCTTTCCATTTAAAAATTTATTGTTTATTTACTTTTAAAGTATTTATTATTTTTAATATTATTTATTTAAATATTTGCATGCCATCTACTATACTAGTTCACACAGCTGTAATTTAATGCACTGCTTTTAGTACACAATAATTATGTAGAGCAGAGAACTATTTATTTAACTAATATAATCAGTTGGTACTCTATTAAAGTTTAAAGTTTAAGCTTAATCAATTAAACTGAATCTAGTTTACACCACTGCAAGTTAATGCACATTAATTACGTATTGCAGTGAATAAGTTTAATAAGTTAATTAATAAAAAATAGTCTTAATTATTTTTTAACTATTGTTAATTAAATTATAATTCTAAAATAATGTTTTTTATATTTTAATTTACTTTTTTCTTTATTCTTTTATTCTTTTTTTATTTTGTACAATATATTTATTATGTTTTTATTTATTATTATAGTATTATTACGGTATTTGCATGTGTAATTCTACTTAATTAGCTTATAATAAGTTATTATTTTTTTAAATTAAATTTACTAGATATATTACAGTACGTTTATTCTAACCCAATTATTTTGAAAAATGGGCATGAATGTGTCAGTTTTCATACAAAATCCATACAGAAATATGCCAAGGAAATTCAATATTTGTAAGAGTAAACAAAATAGCAATTCTGCATTAAGCAATTATTGCACATATAATTCAATACATGGAAACTGTAAGCCATGTTGTCCTACTAGCTGTCCTTTAAGCAAAAATGGTGGACATTATTTTGCATATACAAATTAAAATTAAATATTTTTTAGAATCCCAAAAAAATGATACATATTAATTGAACAGCAACTTACATCACTGCTACAACATCACAGCTGTGGGTAGCATAACATCGTCCATATTTCACCAAATAATGACAAACTTGAAAGAAATGCTAAATAAACGTAATAGTGTGATGTCGCTATAAACGTATAACCAGAAACGGTTATTTTTTCAGGATATCTCAATGCTAATAAATCTTACGTATTTAGAATCGGAACATAATGTTTCTAAAGGCTATTGCAATGGTTTGAAACAAATTGTATTTCCGGCAGAAGTGCTTCGGAAATTTAAGACTCAAAATGATCGGATTTCGCTCCCTAGTGGTAGGCTAATGGTAGCTTAGCTAAACGCATAGAAAATATATATTTAATCAATATTTATTGATCAGTCGCTTCAAAACGTAATGAATTCATATCTATATATGTGTATTATTTATATTTATATTTATATTTATATTTATATTTATATTTATATTTATATTTATATTTATATTTATATTTATATTTATATTAATATTTATATATTTATGATTATATTTTTATATTTATATATATGTATTTATATTTGTATATTAATATTTATGTATGTATATTTATAATTATATATTTATATTTGTATTTTTATATTTATATATTTATATTTATATTTTTATATTTATATATTTATATTTATATATTTATATTTATATTTATATTTATATTTATATTTATATTTATATTTATATATTTATTATATATCTATATATATATTTATTTATTATATATTTATATTTATTTATTATATATTTATATTTATTTATTTATTATATATTTATTTATTTATTATATATTTATTTATTTATTATATATATATATATATTCTTATTTGTACATATATACTTTTTTTTTATATATTTTATAGAATTTTTTATATATATTTTGTATATAGCAGGTGAGTATAGAAAGCAGTATATTTATAATTTATATTTATATTTATATTTATATTATATTTTTATTTAATTATATTCATATTTATTTAATTTATATATTTATATTTTATTAATTTATATTTATATTTATATTTATATTAATATTTTAATTATATTATAGTTATATTTATTATATTTATATTTATATTTTTTATATTTATTTAATATTTATATTTATATTTATATTTATATTTATATTTATATTTATATTTATATTTATATTTATATTTATATTTATATTTATATATATATTTAATTGAATTATACATTTTTATTTTATTTAATTTTTTTTTATTTAACGATGCATGCTTTTTTCTATCTACTCACTTGTAATTACAAAAATAGTTTGTGCTTTTAATGAAAAGGTATCAAAACCAACGATTTTGAAAATAAAAACGTAGTATTATTAAAATAGTATTATCCTACATACATAATTATGTTATGTATATTTAAATTGTGATATTTATATTCTAAAAAGCTTTGTATTAGACAAATTAATAAAAACTGGTAATATACCATACTGTACTTACATTGTAATCATTCGAATAGTACCAAATTGTCATCAACTAGTTACTTTATTTGAAAATATCAAAATATAATACAACTAATTTAGAATACTATATATAGGTTTTATGATATTCACACATTAAACGAACACAATTGGCACATAGAAAGTAAATAAGTCTTAAACTTAAATTTTTTCTATACCGAACAAATTTAAACTCGCCTATATATTTTTAATACTAAATTAGGAAGAAGTTATATATAGCCTTCTATAGTTATATAGAAGTTATATACAAGGTGAGATGAAAAAACTGCAACAAAGTAAAACGCCATAATTTTTTCATTTTTTTTAAATTTTATTGAATGAAAGCAAAAAATGGAAATAACATCAAATTTGAGAATCGGTTTAGATTTGTTCGAATTGGCCACCTTTGGCACGAACTATGGCCTTCAAACGGCCAATGAAACCATCACACGCTGCCCGAAAGTGGCTCTGCGGTATTTTGTCCCATTCTCGGCGAAGCGCTTGCTTGAGATGATCGACACTTTGGTATTTTTTAGTTCCAACCTTGCTTTCCAAAATACCCCAGGCACAATAGTCCAACGGATTGGCATCCGGAGATTTTGGTGGCCATTGTGCGGTGGAAATGAAGCGAGGAACCTCATTTCTTAACCATTCTTGGATGGCGCGTGCTGAGTGCGATGGTGCTGAGTCCTGTTGGAATGTCCAAGGTCTGCGGCCGAAATGTTTGCGTGCCCAGGGCTTCAGAACTCCCTCCAAAATATTTTCGCGATAGATTTGCGCATTTAATTTGACACCACGGTCGATGAATACGAGCGGCGAGCGACCATCGGCTGTTATGGCGGCCCACACCATCACCATGGCCGGCTTTTGAGTTGTGATGGCCAACCGAAGTTGCAAATTTTCAGCTGACCTCTCTGGCAAGTAAACACGATCATTTTGTTTGTTTACAAACTGCTGGATAACGAATGGTTTCTCATCGGAGAAAACCAAATTCGGCAGTTCACCACTTTCGGCCAAGCGAAACAACTCTTTAGCTTTTTCGAGTCTAACTTTTTTTTGCGCATCAGTAAGATCTTGCACTTTTTGGAACTTGAATGGCTTTAGTCCAAGCTCATTTTTCAATATTTGCCGAATGGCATATTGCGATATGTTCAGCTCACGAGCCATTTTTCGTCCACTGCGACGCGGATTTCGTTCAATTCGCTTTTTCACTTTTCGAACCATTTCTGCCGATGTTGCTGTTTTTTTTCGTCCACTTCCTTGACGTCGGGCTACGCTACCAGTATCATGGTAACGAGCGATGGTACGAGACACAAAACATTTATTCACTTCTAAATGCTGGAGGGCTCTAACGATAGCCACTTGTGGTTTTCCAGCCAAATGCAAAGCAATCACACTATCACGCTTGAATTCCATCACAAATAACTTTTTTTTTGAAAAATTCCCACCAAAATGCTTTTGTGCGCTTGTAAACAATATAATGAGCTGTCACTAGAATAAATCTGACAGCTGTGGGACGAGCGGTTTAGAAATGACAGCAGTCTGAAGTTGGTTGCAGTTTTTTCATCTCACCTTGTAGTTATAGTTTATAGCTGTTTTATATTAATTCAACATCAGTGTTGGTTTTTAAATGCATATTTATCTTACACAAGACAATGCACAATTAATATCTAAGGTGCTTTTTAAATATAGTAAACAGAGATATATAATAAAGTTGTAGTTATAGTATTGTTGTAGTACTCAAGACAATGCACAATTAATATTTAAGGTACTTTCTAAATATAGTAAACAGAGATATATAATAAAGTTGTAGTATTGTATAATAGTGTATTATTCTCTCTGATCTTCAATTTACTATTCTATACGATTGCTATTTTACAATACAGCATTGTAATGGAATTATTAGAAAATTACTAATAAATCAAGACTTATGATTTTGTTTAATGAAAATTCCTAAAAGATTGCAGGAATACCACAATTATCACCAGAGGGTGATATTGATTATCACAATTTACTTTAAAAATAAACTACATATACATATTCTTATTCTTAAGCTTATATGAGTTTATAGTACATACTTTGTTTTGAGAAATTCCAGTTTACTTCAACATTTTAATCATACACTGTGAGTTTTACAAAAATTTCAGTGAGTTTTTCCAAATTTCAGGTAGAATAAATTGAAAATCAAATTAAAAATTATTTTAACTTAAACTACAATTACTTCTCAAGACAAAAAGAGATATCTGAATCATTCAGCACAAAATTATGTGTATGAGACGAATTAATCCCTATGAAATTGGACTTTTCAATAAAGCATTTTTAACAAAGGGACAAATTGTCCCTTACGTTCCCAGTTCACGTTGAAGTATGTGAGAGAAAGCTCTTTTGAAAAATTTGAATGCTTAGTTTGGACAGTTATCTCTAGCTGCTATTTAAGGATATCACTATATAGAATATAATAACATTTTCTTTAAAATATAAATTATTTTTGATTTGCGTTTAAAAGTTTTGATACTCTTTCATTAATAATTAAACACAAATGGTAGTGCAATAACAATTAAAGTTACTAAAATAACATTGCTTACATAAGATTAGCTAAACAACTGAAATATATACATTTATTATATCATAAACTAAAAATTATAATTTTTATTACATCTCATTCGCGTCTTCAACACTTTCTTTAAAAATTCAAAAAATTAACATGAAAACACGTAACACTGTTACCACATTGCAACTCCACATAAAACATAAAAAAATATAGCAATTAGTGGGTGATAATCCGGATAAGGAAAAAATTGTAACCGAGTTTCAAAAACGTTTGCGTAGCTCTTTGAACAGCAAAAATGTTGGACTCTACGTAAAAGCCTTCATGAAGTAAGTTTTATTTACAGAAAAACATCTATAATTTTTTCTTTATACGTAATTTTTTTTTTTTTTCAAACTCAGTCGAAAGGACTTAACGTTGAAGGGCTGCAAAGTCGATGTTATTTTAATAACCGGTATGCTTAGTCCATACGCATCTATGGTTGAGAAGCTTCACCGTGATGTAGAGAAGGAGAAAGTAACAATGTTAAAGATTGAAAGAGCTGGTGATGTTTTGGCAGATGCTGTACGTATTTTCACAATCTTTAATTAAAATTTTTCCACATTATACTGAAACATTATCAATTATTTCATTTTATTTTTTTTCAGCCCGGTAAAGTAGCACAATCTATTTTGCTTTTCTGCAAAGGTCAAGGCTTGCTAACATCTGTTGTTATGCCTGGAGTCGATCGTGGTCGTGCTTACTCCACCAGTTCTGGCGGTTCTGGTGATGGTACGAATGGTACACGCAAACTATCGAGGGGGATTTCGATGGAGGATTACGATAAACCCAACATTCGTCGCTTAAGTATTATTAACAGTGAAACAGCTGTTAAGAAATAAAATAATTAAAGCACCAAATTTTTTTCAAAGCAACAAATCAAATACAATAAAAAGTTAATAACATGAAAATTGATTGTTGAGAAACTAAACTTATTTGAAATGAAACATTTACGTAAGTTGCCAAACCAAATATTATTATATAGAGAAAAAAACATAATAAATAACAAATAAAAATGCTTTGAAAGGTAGTGAAATTTATATTTAAATAATTGTTATATATTTTTGAGCTCATAACCAATATCAAAACGTTTTAAAAGTGTACCAAGTTAGTGTTTAAGTATGAGTTTAAATATTTTCTCCAGAAAGTCAATACGTATGTTCTTTTATCCTTCCTTAAATACTATAAGTAATAAAACGTTATATTTACATTAATGTTCAATGTTTATTTTAAAAACTTTTATTTTTTTGATTGATAAAAATTTTATTTATCAGAATAATAATAGTTTAACTTTGCACTTTATAACTTTTATTAGTTTCTTTAATTAAAAAATAATAATCTTAAAAATATTATTGAAAAATATTTATAATTTAATAATTTATAATTTTAATAATAGAATTTTAGTTAATATATACATACATAAGATTTTTATTTTAAAAGGAAATATTTTATTCAAATGAATTATATGTTGAACTCTTAATTAAAAAATAAAATTCATATTATAATAAAAATTTGAATTTAACATATATGCTTTGTTTAAAAATTAAATATGTAATTTTTCAGTACTCAAATAAAATAAAAAATAATTTTTTGTTTTCCAAAGTTAAATTCTTAAATTTAAAATAAATAAAAATTGTTTCACACATTTAATTGAGAATATAGATTCTTAGTTCTAAAATGAAATGTACAATTTTAATTGTAAACAATTAAAAATTATATATTTAATTAGATAATTAAATTCTTAATTTTAAATTTTAATTTTTGGTTTAAACCTTATATATAGTAACTTTATTTTTGCACGTAAATTGATGCAATTTTCAAAATAATCACATATCTACTATTTAAAGCAGACATATTATATAAAAATTGACCTTTATACTTTATTTAATAAATAAGATTTTTTAAATTTTTTTTCGAATGCATAACACACATAGTTTAGTATACCTATTATTATTCTTCTATATGCCAAACTAAAATTTTAAACCCACCCAATTGAAAAGATTTAAGAAAAGAAAAATATGTATAAAATACTAAAAAGAATAAATTTCATATCAATTTAAAATTACCACAAAAGAAGCAATCGATATATTCTGCAAAATATAGAATTAAATACCTCCGACTAGTAAATTGTACCTCTATTTAAGCAAAAATGTCTAACCACAATCATTAATCGAACAACCGTTTTGATACTGTATTAAGTTTTAATAAGTTGAATAAATAATAAAATTTTTGAAATATTTACAGAACCTATAAACAATTAACATTAAATTTTATTAGAAAAACTAATTTTCAAAATAGTATTAATTATAAATAATAAACATACATAATATGCACAAAGTTAAAAGCAAATACTTTCAAATAAAAGGCACTTAAAAGATTTTTATAAAAACATACATGAATTATACGAGTATAAATATATCGATAACATCGATCGAAAATGTAAAATAATTTTACAACAAATAAACGATAAGTGCAGTAAATTAATTTAAATGTCATTTTGAATTCCTTAATTTATAGTCAATTTGACAATTAATGACAGCTAACATTAATAACATAATAATGCTTTTTTAAAGAAACACATTGGTCATTCTATGCTTCCATATCTTTCAAAAATTTGAATAAAAGGGAATAATTGCTACTTTAGCTTCACATAGTCTATGATAAGTGCTAAACTCTTGATTAATGCATTTATCTGTAGTAAATTTCGAAAGGATTGAGTAATTTTGTAAATACATTTGAAGAACAAATAATAATGACCCCCAAACACTTATCGATTTACGATTATCATTGGTGCGATTATATCCATATATCCATATGGAACTATGAACAATAGTATCGAATTGAAATTGCTTTATATATTAATTTGAAAGGATATTTTCACCACACATATTTTCTCGTAGTGAAAATAAATACGCAAAATTAACTGATGTGTCTCACTTCAATTAACTCAACTACTTTCCTTTATTCCAATGAATGATGAATTTTCAAATAAGAAAAATTAAGTTAGCGTGATTTCTTAAAGAAGCTAAAAATCCTGTTTAATTAAAATTAAAAATAAAAATGTTTGAACTTAATGTGATTTTCTTTTATTTTTAAGCTTGACAAATTGACTCGAAATTTATAAATGAAAATAATTCACAATCACTTATCGATTAAAAAATTTATTACACCAGCGTTAACACATTTTTGGCTTTTTAATCGTTTTTTAAAAAGTTAATTGAAAAATATTTTAAATATTGAGATTATTAATTAATGCATCAAATTAAAAAAAAAACGTAGTGCTAATTTATAAAATAAAAGATTAAAAAAAAATAATTAGAAAACTTTAATGTATTACTATACTTAACATTTGAATATTGAACGAATTATCATAATAAAATAAATAAAACATAATTAGATGAAATTTGTTAAAACATTAAAAATATTTATTTATTTGTTGTTTTAATATTGATATTTAATATATTATAATAGGTAAGTAGTAACTAGAAGAACTATTATACTGTTGAGTATCCGAAAAAGCAAACTTCTCCAATGCAGCAATAACTTAATACTAATATAAAGCTTATATTACTACTTTCTACATCAGTTTGATCTTTATTTAATGAAGAAATATATTTTTCAAAAATGAACTCAAGATTATTCTTCCAAATAAAACACATTTTGAGACAGCAAAGTATACATCCGACCATTTTTCAATGTTATAGGCGGCACATAATATAGGTATGTGTCACATGTATTTCAATATTCGACTTCAATAAGCATTCTTTCGAACACTGCATGATTTCTAGTAGGTTATATATCTTAAGTAAGCCTATGTGATTTAACTCAATGTGTTTATATTAGCAGCTACCTGCAATATCAGTTATATGTCTATGATAGTCAGGAAGGACTAAAACAAAAACGTATTAAATCAGACGAAGCGCAAAGTTCCATTCTGAGATCGAATTTGTGAAATGTGGTATACGATGAAATCCCAGCCACAGAAATGCCAGATGACACATACCTCGCCACTGTGCAGATGATATCGCTGCAGTAGTTACGGCGCGAAACACGAAAAAGGCTCAACGGAAGCTCAAGATGGTGATGATACAAGTGTAATGATACTAACTAAACACTATTAAACATTAGAAAATGGATGCATGTCTGCGACAGGGCCAGAATTATGCAAAAGGCGATTACTTACTTTGGTTTGTAAAGACTGAACTCCAAGTTAACCTATTGAGCTCAAATAAAAAAGACTGCGGCAAAACTAAGCAAAGTTGTTGCGTTGCTAGAAACGCGGATGATGGCTACCGTAAGAGATGCTACTCAGAGTTAATGAAAACTATTTATGACGACCGCACACCAAATACTACTTTACAGGTACGAAACTTAAGCAGACGTTTTAAGGGAAAAAGGCTTACGCAGTTGTACAGAGAACTGTTGCCCTCCGAATAGCTCTGTGTACAGAACCGCATACAAGGAAGAAGAGGTTTTTAATCCGTATACTACACAGTGGGAGTAAGATACACCTTTCCGGCTACGGTTGGTTTGATGGTGCATCAATTATTCCACATTCTTACTCACAAAAAAGTATATATTTATATTATAGTTGCGAATTGTTTTGATGTGTATATAAACATTTAATTATTGTGCTCTTATTAATAAATAAAATACAACGGCTTCAAATAAATGGACTTGGACTGATATAGATTATTCATGACAGGTACTTATTTTGTAGATTCGGGTGAGAACCATTCAGGTCAGTAATTGGGTTATACGAGGGTCGCGTTTGATAAGTCAGTGACTTTTTGAATTTCCCGCGCAGTTACTCCAAATGCAACAGCGCTGCCGTCAGCTGTAATCTACCAGTGGGCAACTTTTAAATTTTGAGCAAGTTATGTCGTTCAGTTGGTGTTTGATAGCCGTTCAAAGCAGAAAACCTTGTGAATTTTTTCGAAAATGGAAAAAAGTGAATTTCGCCATTTCTTTAGGTTTAGAAACAAAAAATAGTCGCAGGCGGCTAAATGTGGAGAATATGCTGGATGGGGTAGCAGTTCGTATCCCAATTCGTGGATTTTGGCCACAATGCTTAATCAGCACACGAAATTCACTTTTTTTCATTTTCGTAAAAATTCACAAGGTTGTGAATTTACGACGTACGACGTAGCTTGCTCAAAATTAAAAAGTTACCCACTGGTAGATTACAGCTAACTGCAGCTGTTGCATTTGGAGTAAATGCGCGGGAAATTCAAAAAGTATAAAGACTCAAAAAAGGAATGCATTTAAAAAACATATGTTGGCAGTAATCGATATTGATTTTGCAATAGTAAGCAAGACTAATTTTTGGGGGGAGGGGGTCATAGAACTTATATTAAATTAACAAATAATAATATCATAGAAGTATAGTAGTATAGAGTAGTTTCCTTGGTTCAATATCTAGATTGGTATCGATATCAAATTAAGAGTTAAAAAAATGTTCATTGCGTTTTTTATTTAGTTTTGATGTGTAGATATAATGTTTAAAGATGTAGATATATCATTCCTCGTGTCGACTGGAAAATCCTGCGAAATTTGTTTACATACAAAAAAATATTCCTTTGTACAGTTCGACGTTTTTCTTTTGTAATTAGAACGTCATGTTATAGATGACTGCTGTGTGGTGAATAATTGATTGCCGAAATTTATTTAATGTCATTTAATAGCCTTCATTCTTGTAAAGCAGGTCTTTAGGTATTTGCATATTCCTTTTTGTCTATACATTATATATATACTTTTTCATATTTGTTGTAAATAAACAATAGTTATATCAAACTTAGTACAGTAAAATCTAATAAATAAATATAAATTTATTTGTTTATTATGCGTTTTGTTACTTATATTCAATCAAAACAAAATCGTTTTTGTTTCAAATAATTTCTTTGCATAGCCTTGCGGAATATCAATATTAAAACGAGAACCAGAATCAGTACTTTTTCCTATTTCTTCAGTGAGATGTGATATTCTCTGTTATAAAAGCTTTTCCCTATTCCTGCAAATAAGATTATATGTAAGAACTTCTAACATATTGCGATCAATCTTTGCCGTTATCTATTTGCCATTAGAAGCTTATTCTTTTAGAAAATTTTGAATTAATTAGACAAAATGGAATGAATTGGTATATAGTACGAAACTTTTTCAATCTTACTAAAAGTAGTAAAAAAAATAATAACATTAAAATGTGTTGTTATGGTATTGGATATAATAATTTAAACATTTATTATGTTATTACAGAAATAACAGCTTTCCACACAAAGGACTATTACAACGCCAAAATTTCAAATAGAGAAAAGTCAAAAATAAACATCAACAATATAGTTAAAAGTAAATAACTTGGGGACTTTTATAATAAAACATAATTTTATTAATAAACAGTTCTGATTCAATGATTGCAAGATTCGTTTTTATAACATTCTGTGATTATGAAGAAGTCAATGGGCATATTTCCACTATCATGAACATGAACTTGAAAACCGGTTGCTTATTGATGAATGAGGAAAGAGAGTGTGATGTGAGTTCATGAATTTCACGCAATGAAATTTGCTGCGTTATGTTTATGTTTACCTTTTAATGCTGAATACTCTAAATTTCTGTGCTATGCACTACAAACAAGTATTTTATAAGTTTACATAAAAGAAAACAAATTTCGCTCTCATGAGAGTTCATGATATTGTAAACTGAACTGACAGTTCATGTTGTCGTCAAGTTCATCTCACGTTCATGATAGTGTAAATAGGCCCAATAACTTTCGAAACGTTGGCAATTATTTATGTAGGAAAAACCTATATATAATAATATATATTCATATAAAAACATAAACTACCTTAATATTTCTTTTCCTTAGCGATTTAGAAAATCTATTTTTATGGATTGTGGTTACTAATGATAACTGTTTCTTACGTTATTGTATTACATATGCAGTAACTACGACAAATATACTTATTTTTCACATAAATCTTGTTATATATCTTAAATTACAAGTTATGAAGACAGACGATAATTACTATAAGTACTACTATAAGTAAAAATTCATATATTAATAATTTCGAATTTCAACTGAGAATAACTATCACAATAAAAACTGTTTTTATTTAAAAATAATTCAGAAAAAATCTTAAAAGTATACACATAAAATAATAAATCGTGAAAAATAGTGAAAAAATACTACAAAGGTTTAAAAAATGCAGCCGTGCTAAAAATATTTTGTAAGTATATGGCATCACTGTTCTCAGTCAACTATTTTTCTAAATAAATAAAAGTGAAGTATGAACGTAGATCCACCAACAAAACCTCCCCGCGGAGTAAAATATGGAAAAGATGAGGTAAATTGCACTAAAAACTAATATCTTCAAATTGCAATAAATAAAAAGTGTAATAAATAAATAAGTCAGTCAAAAAAATTCAATAGAAATTTTGCTTGCTATAGTGTAATGTGTCGTCAGCCTCGATGACAAGTCTAATGTGCGGGAGGTCAATTATTTAAAAAAAATCTGGGCGTTTTTTATATTAACTTTTGTAGAATAAGATAATATCAAGATATATAATTCGTTTCTAAATTTGTTTAATTTTTATTTCATCAAGCCTGGATGCGGTTTTCTAGTCAATGTCATAAAATCACTTGGATTTAGTGAAACAAATGAAGAGCGACAAAAGGAGAAACTTAAAATTGAAAAGGAATTCAAACGTTCCGATCAGAGACTGAATGAGCTAGTATCGAAATATGATCAACAGCTTACACAAGTCTTGCCGCTTTTTAGCCAAGTATCTACTGAGATAGCATCAAGTAGAGAAAGAATACATGCCGTTAAAGAAAACTTAGGAGCATGCAAGAGATTGCTGCAATGTCGTCGTGATGAGTTAAAAAAAATGTGGACAGATGCAGTACAGCATAAATATGTGCTGGAAATGTTGGAACAAATGTAAGAACAAAATTTTATTTTATTTAAATTAATGTATTTAAAAACCTCTTTAATTAGCAACGAATTACGCAAAGTGCCTCAACGTGTAGTAGCTTACACTGCTAAACGTCAATATTTGCATGCCAGCAAAGCCTTAACAGATGCCTTAGCTTTAATACAAGGTCCCTTACAGGGTGTAGAGGGTTTAAATGATTTACGTACTGATTTACAAGCACGCCGTCAACAGCTGTATTATCGGTTGCATGAAGAACTTGTAACGCAATTGTATAAGAATTCTGCATCAGAAGCACTTTCAACATTTCAAAGAAATAACTCTAGTAGATTAAACGGTAGCTTTACGCGTGGTATTATTGCGAGACGTTCAACAGATCGCATTGAAGCAAATGCACGTGTACGTAAAGCTTTAACTGAAATGGCACAGGGATTTGATCTGGAGAAATCTGAAATTATTCAAGATACTGATCTTATTGATAATGAGCTAAGTATGACATATTTCATATCAATAATTGTCGAGTGTTTCGGTATGTTAGGTAAAGTACCAGATTCGTTGGAAAAGTTACGTGTGCAAATACAAGACGAATTATTGCATGTGGTCAGGAATACAACACAAGAACTAATTTCACTTAATCTAACAGCAAATAATCGTTACCCATTGTTAGCACTATTAGAAGTAATATACGAACAGTTCAAATCAATTGCAAAAACACATACATTATTGCTTAAGAACTATTTAGCAGTTGTACAAAAGTATTCTGTAGTCGGACCGCAGCCATACGATTTAACTGATTTTTGGGCGCAAGCACAATCAGTAGTATGTTTTAATACACATTAGAGTTTAGTGTAATAATGAGTATAAGTAATATTTCTTTTTATTAATATTTTTTAGCTGCAATTGTTACTCACGGACTATTTGGATATTCAAAATTCAGCCGCAGATGAATCCTCACAATCTGCATTTTCTGAACCAACGAGTAATATAAATTTCTTTTTTCTAAGACGAAAAGTTCCAAGGTAAATATACATAGAAAGTTGTATCAGTGAAAGATAATTTTACTTTAAATACAAAATTAGAAATAAAGAAAGAGGCGGTTTTATATTATTTTATTTACAAAATAAAACTCTATTATGTGTAGTCATCTTTCTCCCAGTGGAACAGGGTCTGTCTTTTTTGTAATAACTATATATATGAATTTATATATTGTATATATATTTGTATAGATATATATAAATATATGGATGTGCATAAATTATCTACACGAAAATTATATGATCTTGTAATTGTATATATTTTATATATAAAAACTAATTGCTTATTGAAGGGATATATTAATCTTATTAGACTTTTGGTAAATATTATGTGTATTATTATTTGTAAATATTTAATGAATGTAGTCATAGTTTATGCTGAAGGCTAAAGCATATAAGTAATATTCACAATATCTAGTGATGGACACAAAAATCGTCATAGTACCTTAGTATTTAACATAATAATATAGTACCACTGTAAAGCGAACACAACAATCTATATTAACTTACTTCTTACTTGAATTATATTCTATTACTATGTTATTGGTTCACCGAGTCTCCGTTACTTTAGATTATGAATACCACTTTTGTATATAAAAGTCGATTATATGAAAGTTTGTAATATTAACTATATATTTTTATATTTGTTATTAATTTCTTTTTTGAAGGGATCGTTCTAACTACGCCAGGCGTTGGTTGGTATTATTCAATATTTTATTTAAAAATCCTCTTTATTACTAGTTGGGCTAAAACCTTGTTTTATATAAATATTTAACGTAGAATTATAGCTTAAAAGAAATTAGGCATATATTCCATTAATTTTTTAAACAAATTACAGCACAAAGAAGACACTTTTTAAACTTGATAAAGCAGCACATGTTACAACGCAGCAAACATCATCCAATGGATCATTTAAAGAGCATCGACGAAATGCTTCAGATGTCTCAACAGATGACAATTTAGCTGGGTCATTGAATAATAGTGGAAGTGGCAAAGGCAGTAACATAGTACCTAATGAAAAGCAACGTGAAAAAATTTTAATTTGTACACCAGATCAGAATGTTATAACAAAGGTGTATCTACCACTCATGAGTTACATACAAGAAATAGAAAGCTTTATGAAGTGTAAGCCTGGGTAGGTACAACGCCTTATAATACAAGCCATAAATATTGAATTATTTTTTTATAAATATATATGATATTCTAGACAACCTTGTAGTTTGCATGACTTTATAGACAACTACATAAAAGATACATTCCTCTTAAAAGGTCATAATCGTAATTTAAATATGACAATAGAATCGCTTTCGAAAAATCAAGATGCTTGGCGTGCAATTATCAGTCCGGAAGACATGAAAACATACAATTTAACACGACCATTGTTACAATCTACAGCCATGGTTGAACGTCGCTTATCAGAGACAAAAACTCTTATACAGGACTTGCCATGTTATTCCGAAGAACTTTTAAAAATGGTCTGTGCTCTATTAAAAACATATCGTGAAATATGTCAAGCCGCGTATCGAGGCATTGTACAACCTGACTCTGAAGACAAACGCATATATAGTGTAGCATGGTTAAAGGATGAGGATATAAGTCGATTTTTAAAGTATAAAATACATTTTTAAAAATTGTATTATAACATTTTTAAATATTTACAAAAATATTTTTATAGAACTTTGCCCAATTGGACTGATCTTAAAAGTTCCAATCAGCGCCCGAAGCATGGCAAAAAATTGCAACGTAACCATTTTGAGCCATCAGAAGAAGAGAGCCCTTTACAAGTACAACAACGAAATATACGCGAAGCTGAGATGCTGACTAGTAATTTAGGCGAAGGTGGCATAACACAACAAGAAATACTTGGAGATATCAGTGTGTTGAAAGAATTGGCTATATTGCAGGAGAGTATGGAGTGGTTTTCTTGTCGTGTTTCGGAATTTGCAAATGATTTACGCAGGCCACTTGTAAATGGTTTGAATATAGTAGCAAATGAGTGCGTATCTGATATAACCATTAAAGATGGCACCATCAAAGTCCTTACAAATTTAGCATTAGAATTCGACGAGCTATCAAATACCTGTTTACTAGTGTTACATTTAGAGGTAAAGCACGTTACTTTAACATTTTTATTAAAGACTTGAAATAATTAATAATTAATATTAGGTGCGAGTACAATGTTTTCACTATTTACGTTCAAAACCGAAACATAGGTCAAATAATTTTATTGACACCAAAGAGGATGTTCTAGAACCGGATACACAAGTTCAAATGTTAACAAAACGTTTGTCAGAAATGGACGAAGCATTCAGTTCGACATTACATCCGAGAAAGACTAGGGTTTGTAATTTTTATTTTATTGAATTTTATTTGTAAATTAACATATGTTAAATATTATTTTTAGTATATATTTGAAGGTCTAGCACACTTAGCTGCACGCATACTAATACAAGCGTCTAATTATTTGGAAAACATTGATCAAGTAACTGTGCAACGTATGTGCAGAAATTCAATAGCTTTACAACAAACTTTGAGTAATATTACAGCGTCAAGAGAAGTAGCATTGGATCAAGCCAAAAGCTTCTATGAACTTCTATGCATGGAACCCGATGTAAGTATACAAACATTTATCCATATTTAAAGTTTACCAAAATAAATCATTGAGCTGCATAAAGAAGGATCATTCTCTTGCTTCCTTTCAATCATATATTTATTTTAAAATACAATTAACATTGTATTCTCTAAAAACGAAAAACCATTATAAAAATATCTGCTATTGAGCAATTCTAACTTTTAACTGAATTTATAAATTACAATCCTACGATTATAAATTCAATTTAAATAATTTAATGTCGTAATGGCAAAGTTATCTATTTTTGTATATAGAATTTTTCATATTGAAGAACACTTTATAAATACAAAAATATATTTTTCAATTAAATTTTAGTTAAATTAAATTTTGAAAAAATATTACTTTTTCATTTATTTAACTTCTTCATATATGTAACTTCATTTACAAAATAACAAAATAATTTAGAAAACTGTATCCAAATTCTACATATTTCAATATAAATTCTTTGTAGTATTACAACGTTTCTTCAGATAATTTTAATTTATTGAAAAGCTTATCTCTTACAATTGAATATGTATATATATTAATATATATATAAAATACATACATGTATGTATATAACAACGAAATATAAATTCTTATATGTTATGTTTTGCTCATAAACATTATATTGTCTTAATCACAAATGGTATATAATAAATGAAATGAACTTTTTTTATTATTCTATTTTGTGGTGAATAAGTAAAAATATATATTTATGTAATATCATTTATTATATATTTATAATATCATATATTATATATTTATAATATCATGTATTATATATTTATTATTATACGTATATTATCTGACCTTTTCTAATTTGATCATATTTTTATGCAAATTTTCTACAAAAAATATCTACTTTTAGAAGCGATATAATATTTCGCATGCTTAACTGCAAACTAAAAACAATAGTTTTGTTTGCAGTTGCAATTATAATAGTTTAGATTATTTATTAAAAAATTAGATATGCTCTTGATATAAGCACATTTTGAAGAGATGAGTCCATAATTACACTTCCTTCCAATTCTGTAGGTTATTTCTGTGTCTACCGTCTCTATAGTCTTCAGAAGGCCTTTTATTTTCTTACCGCGAAATTTAAATTATAAAAAATAAAGAATTCGTAAATTCAATGACTACTTATCACGAACATTTTAAAATTTGTTCATGTACGTGATATTCATAGAATTTATTTTTATGTTTAGTCCTGCAAATATCGTCCACTGCATGTCTTATTGTTCCCATTGCATTTCATGAAATAATCCACAAACTTCCTAGCCCTTCAGTTATTATATATTACTTTCTTTGTATACAGGAAATTCTTACTGCAATTGTCGAGAAAGGTCCACAATTTACTGAGATGCAATATTTAAATGCATTACACTTATCGTGCAAAGCACGTGGAATTACTGATTCAAACGCTTTAGCATCCTATCAACAAAAGCTGTCCGATATTTTGGGAGCCAAACCCTCCACTGGTGTTGTTGTTTAGTAATAGAAACAAAATTGTAACTCAATTTAGCGTTTAAGACTGTTTTGCTAAAAATTATATATATTTATTATTATAAATACACTTGCTATGCAAATATGTAGTTTTCACTGTATTATTAAAAATTAACAAAAATAAAATATGTAAAGCTTAATTTTAAAAAACAAAAATATTCATGTCTAAATATTTGTAAAACTCAATTATCTAATTAATAAGTAGGCATCAGGATATCAGTGTTTATATCCTCATATAGTATTTGAAAATTGAATCTCTTGGATGCAACTAACAGACTGATTATAAATTGTAATATTGTTGTTGTAGTAGTCAAACGCTGACTTAAAAGCCAGTAAATAAAAGGGTGAGTAGACACTGCACCCTTTTATAATATCTGGTGTAAAATAGGAGTAAGTATTAGGAAGTAAGTAGGGATTTTAATCCAGATCTTTACCTGAAACGCTGCCAACTAAACGGGACGGAACTAAATAGGACTCAAATTTGTATGCGCATTTCGGCTTTCAAATTTGTTGGTGAAAAAGACGTATTTATCTGTGGCAAGTAATTATTTAACAAGTGCCTGAGGTGAGAACTTAATTGGGCAGAAGAGTTTCTTTTGCGCGAGACAAACCACTTTCAGACAAAGACCTGCTAAGAAGTTTGATGTTAAACAGCTAAGATTTGGAAGGGGCAATCGCCTCGATATAGAAGACAGAAAGCCGTTGCTTATAGTTGCAATGTTTGTATTTGACAAATAAAAATTATAGTCAAAAGAATCAGTGGTCTTATTATAACGTAAAAAAATTCCTAAAACTATTCAAAATTAGCAATATTATATATAGCATCTGAAGGATGTTTCTTATATATAGGTACAACAATACATGTGTGTGTTTTAGCAAACGATGACATGCATCTCTTTGCTCAAACTGTAGAGATCGTAAATAAAAGTAGTTGGAAACGTATTATGTTTGTCAGCTGTTTATTTCAAATGTGTTTTACTCTATATATGTAATATTAACCGTAAAAATGTACTGTAAGCTCCTCTTGTTTATTTGTTTGAATTTTAACTATGCACTTAACTTCATTATTTTTAATTGTCTGTATATTTTATACTTATGACATTTTACAATTTATACATAAAGGTCTTATTTGCAAGATTTTTTTATAATTTAACATATTTTCCGTGTAAATATATCAACAAGAAATGTTAAAATCTTTTAAATAGCATATTATGGTTACGGTAAAAGTCACCATTTGTTGCTTTGAATATAAAATAAATAATTAAGAATGGCAACATGGTGCTCATATGAATACTACGTATATATGTTTCTGCAATTCCTCGTGTTTTGTTTTTATTGAAATTTGCTTTTCAGTGTGATTCGCTGTCGTATTTTTTGTTTGTTTATGTACTTGCAAACGTAATGCCACATTATAGCATTGACAGACGAGCGCGCTTAATTATCATTAAGCAACCTCAAATGATCATTTTAAAAATACCTTGACAGACGGTATAAATTATCATTAAGAAGTTCCTGTATCATATCATATCATGTTTTTTGTTATTGAAAAAACGAGGGAATTTTAAATTCAAAATGGATAAGCAAGAAAAATTAAAGAAACTCGTTTTAATTTGGTTAAAATACGCCGTTCGTTCAATTTAAAACTAAAAATGTTATTATTGAAAGTAATAAAAAATCATGAAACTATAAATATACGTTTTACTATGAAAACTAAATTCATAGCAAGAAGAACATTGTTCGCAAATCTGTGTTGTTTATACTTTGGCAACCAAACAACCACTTGAAATTTGTTCCAATTTTTATTTCGTTTCACTTGCAGCATTACCATTTCTAAAAACCTAAACGAGAAATAAATTGGGTTAAATTCGGTCATTTAAACACCATAAATAATCATTTAAATCTAATAAATGAGCAAATAAATTATAATTTAGCCCTTTAATGATAATTTAGCTTCCGTTTGTCAATGTTATTAGAATGTTTGGAGGCAGTATTCAATTTGTGCATGTGTGAGTTAAAGCATTGACTTTACGGCCGTGTGCGAGTTCGAGTGAATTGAAGTAAAGTAACTTGAAATTTCCTAGGGTTTTTTTTCACTGCACTTATGTAAATATTTATTTAAAAGTTTTAAAATTTATTTATTTATTTGTTTAACATCTTATAAAATTTTCACAATGGCAACATCTAATTTTTATCTAATTTACTCTACTCGAAATTCTGGTAAATATCAACATTCGCTGGCATACCGACATAATTTAATATGATATTTCCGTCAATTTACCATCAATTTACTCGAACTCGCACACGGCCTACAACTCAAATGAAGTTTGGGGAATATATTATTTAATATAGTACGAACCCATTGTTAAATTATTATGAATAATTGATTTGTAAATAAAAACTCTATGGAATAAAACTGCATTAAAATTTCTGCAAATTTTGTTATACAAAATGAATTTTTCAATTATACTAAACCAAAAAAATTCGCTAACTTTAATAATAAAGACAGAATTGGTTTTGGAGTACAAGTAATCGCTACTATGTTTCGTCATTTTTTATATTTAATGCTAAGTTGTAAAGACTTACAACTGTTTTGATTTGAATATTTCATTTATGTTTCCCTTTTCATTAAAAAATTCAATTACACTTCATTTTCTGATTTACTTAAATAAAAATTTATTTCTGCATATAAATGACGGGTTTTGTCGATAATAACATTATTAAATAGTCATGTTTATTATAATTATACTCATCAGATTTATTTGACTTTACTTAAACGTAAGTTTCTACGAAATTCAAGTAAATTTTGCACGTCACAAAACGACACAGAAAATTTGATCTCACAAACTCTGTTATATTAGGGCTCACTTAGTCAGTACACATCGTAAGAACTTGAGCGGACTTAAGCCAAAGCGAAATGCACAACCAACCATACCTGTGTATTTGATAGGAACAATATAAATAAAGTTCGCCGCTTTTGTTTATTTCATTTCTATCAAATACATAGGTGTGGTTGGTTGTGCATTTCGTATTAAGGACGTGTGCGAGTTAGGCTAAGTTGCGTTCTAAATGAGGGAAATTCTAAGTTGAGCCGATAATGTAGGGATGTGTCGATACGTGTTGATAAATGGCTAAATGTGTGCAGTGCAAAAAATCCCAAAAAAACTCCCATTTGGTTTAGCATCAACTTAGCCTAACTCGCACACGACCTAAATTAAGTTCTTACGATACGTATCGACTTACTGTGCCTTGAGCCTTTACAAGATTTCGGGTACGGAAAAGGAAAAATTTCGAAGGGGAACATACCTTTTATGTGAGAATTTTGTTGAACCACGTTGTCAACAAGTGCATCGATAAATTTTTATAAAGTTTTTTTAATCGATCTGGCAGCATTTCAAAATAATTTTGATTGCCGCCGTAAAGAAATACTAAAATGATTGAGGAAACTGTTTCTATTAATGTAAACGAAAAGATTTCAACAAAGGAAACTATACAGGATGATGTGAAAAACAGCTCCGTGTCAGAATTAAAAGATGATAAGGAAGTGAAATCACCTCAGTATAATTTACAGAAATTCAAGCTTACGCGAATTTTACAAAACAATACAGTGCGAAAAAGCATTGCACTACTCGGTACATTTCCAGACTTATCTGAATCGGACCAAGCGATCGTATTATTTGAAAAGGAAGTATTTAGAGAAAAGGATGTTCAAACAGAGGCTACTAATGACGAAATTGCTACGAAAGGTGCAGAAGAAAAAAAAGCCGCTAAGAAGCTTACTTACTTTAATGATGACCTTCAAGTAAAAACTGAATTTATAAACAATATTTACGGCAGTTTTCAGTGTGTAGCAAGCTCCGAATTAAATGGTAAATCTTAAGTTATGAACTTGGCCGTTGTAATAATGAAATTCAATTTAGGTTTGAAAACGACGGTTGTATATCCGGCAACAGAGAAACACATTGAAAAATATTCCATAAATCTAAAATATGTCGTTACCGAAACACCAGAATTGTATAAAAACATAACACTGCCTTTTCTGGAAAGCAGCCAGTTTTCCTTAGAGGTAAATTGATGACAATATTAAATTAAACAATAAATACAAATGTGTAATTTCAAATAGTGGGTGTATAACATACTTGAACATAAACAAGAAACCGAACGCATCATTTTTGAAGACAAAGATCCAGATGAAGGATTTATACTGTTGCCAGATCTCAAGTGGGATGGACGTAATGTTGAAACATTGTATTTGATTGCTTTACCTCATAAACGGAATATAAAATCTTTACGCGATTTAACCGGTGAACATTTACCTTTGTTGAGAAATATTCGTAAGTTAGCTGTTGAAAAAATTGAGGAACTTTATGGTATCTCAGGCAGTCAATTACGTATGTATTTCCACTATCAGCCATCATTTTATCATTTACATGTACACATAAATCTTTTGCGCAACGATGCACCTGGCATTTGGTGCGAAAAATCTCATATGCTCGACACTGTTATTAATAATTTGGAATTAGTACCTGATTATTACAGCCGGGCTACGATTCCGTTTGTGTTGTACAGTGGAAATAAATTATTAGACCAGTATTCTGATACTTTGAAGCTATGTAGTAGTAAACGAAAGTCTTTAGAAAACACAGATGTGGAAACTAAACGACAGAAATTGTCTGACAATTAAATAATTGTGGTTAAAAAGTAAATTAAAATTACATTTGATTTTCTACTTTAAAATCTTGATAAAATAAAGTATAATTTGTTAATTTAAAATACTAATAAACTTAAAATTTTTATGCCGCAAATCTATGAGTTTTAAAAATGAAATATTTTTCAGTTTAAAGCATATTTTTTTTATTCAATAGTTTTTTCTTTAAACTGTTTTCTTTTCACTAACGGTTATCAACGTATTTTAGGAATATTTGTTATTAAACAGTGATATTATTCAATATTAATTATCGACATGTCTGTTACATTTTTTTATTATCATTTGACAAATGTATTCATTTACATACATCATTTCTTATATAAGATGATTGTAATTGATATTTAATTTTAATTTTTTTTATAAATGAATGCATTATAATGTTTTAATACATTTTCCTGGAATTTCAAATTGCTGAAGAATTCTTAATATTATAGGCTTTGTGATGTACTAAATTTTCATTCAGATATGATGTGATTGCTTGTGTTCTGTTGTGAAACTTGCAAATAAGATTCCTTTTAATTTTTTTATAAATATTTTTCCTATTAAACATAAATTTGAAATCTTTAAAAGGAATATATTCTAAATTTTAATATATATATTTGTATCAAAGATTACAACTACTATTATTTATACCTAATAATAACAGGTATTTTATAATAACATTGTGTGTGTGTATATTTAAGTAACTAAAGTAATAAAATTTTAAGACGTATAATCAACTATATGTAGAAATTTTAACAGTGACCAATGAATCACTGGTCCATAAAATAAATATGCAATCACAAATCACATTGGAGTGGATATGCGATTTTGTGTAAACATTGTACGACAAGCGCTTAGATGAAATCTCCAATATTATGCCCGTTAAGCCGGGATTTCAATGTGGATGCTATGAGTAATTATTGATGCTGAAATACTGGCAACGAACGATTTTTTACTGCCATCAGGTTCTATTTGGATCGAATGATAATTAAAAAGTAGTAGAGCATTGTAGTATAATGTATAGTTTATGTATTAATTTTAATAAAATTTATATACATTTGAAACTCCAATAAATGTAATTTGATTATAAAATTTATATTTACGAATTCAATTATTTATTACAGAAATTTATTTTTTTAATTATGTTAATATTTGGGCTCACCATACAACTATTCCAAATATCCAGCAATTGTCTTTGGACATTTTATTCTTTACCATGAACCGATTATCTGTTTAGTCATTGATTCATTATTTAGTACATAAGAATAATTAAATAATGAGTGTACATTGATAAATTTTCTAAAACTGATGATGAGTGAGATACTATTTTTATTAGCTTGAACTTTAATTACTCTTAAAATTCTAAATAACAATTTGTAATTTATTTTGCAAAACACACCACATATTTTGGTCATCGTATTGCCAGGAATTTAAATGGATAAGAAATAATATGTTATAGAAAAACTTGGCATCTTCTATATATACTTACATATTATAGACACTTTTACCAATCTGAAATAATTAAGTTTAAAGATCCTTAACTCTGTTTTAACTTTTATTGTTTACTTGAGCTGGTTATTTATTGATAATAATTTTATGATAATTATGTGAAATTATAACATGTATTTATTTATTTATTTAATGCTATTTCTCATTTCATTATTCCATTCAGAATCTTATTTTAAGGTTATACGTGAAGTATATTATGTTCTCTCTATTCGCCATTTCTCTATACAGAATTGGCCTTTATCGATTTAAGGTGCCGGAACTTTCGGTCCTGTATTGTTACATTTTTTTTTTACATCCTTCATTAGTAAACATACTAACTTAGACTACTTTCTTCTAGCTTATCAATGCTGATTGAAGTGGCGGCCTTGTGCCTAAAACCCACTTTGTGATACGCGATTGGGGCAACTTTCATAATATTTCTAAAGTCTACCTAATCTATAAGTAAACAAATTAGATATATACAATATATTGTGGCTTTTAACAATTGACTCTTGAGTACTACTAATTTTTTAATCATTTCGAATAGTTCCTTCGGTCTTAAATAAAACAGAACTTTTTCGCCTTTGTCTTCTTGAGATGATAATTTTATTTTTTTTTTTCAAAGTTTTATTTTATGTAATAAATATCAGTGTCTTGTAATATTCAGTGTATTTATTATATGAAATACCGTAAGCATTTAAATTATTCATAATTTGCTATTAAACGCCTTTTCAATATGTATACAGAAATTATAGACATATATATGTATATATAATTTATAATTGAAGTTTTTTCATGCAAAAAATTTTGAATTTTATTTTACTATTTTACAAAATCAACTTATAAATTTAAATCAAAATTTCTTTGAGTTAAAATATTGCAATATGTGTTGTTTTATGTGAAGCATTTAGCTTTTTTAATGATTATTTAAAAAAACAGTTTTTATTCTCAATTTTTTAGTAGACTAAATATATAAGTATATATATATACTTATATATATATATAAATATATAAATAATAATAATAATAATTATGATCATAATTTATAAAAACAATTGTCTGACTCACACAATTGCGCTGTGGCAATTGTGTTTGTAATAACATTTAAAATTTTTAATATTTTTAAATTTAAATAGCATATTTAAAATAATTTTAATTCTACTTATTTATAGTGGCTGTGGCAGAGGGGGAGGAGGTTGTAGTGGATGTCCCTAGTAAAGGATCAAGTTTCGGTAGCATATCAAGCTGAGTTTGTTGTATCTCTTGTAACAACTCCAATTGATGTTGTTCTATTTGTTGTTCCTCTAGCAGTCGATCTTGTTGCCGTAAAGTAAAATCCAGTATCAACTGCTCTTGTGGAACAGGTGTACTTATATTATGTTCTACTGGAATATTTTGTTCAATAGGGACAGTAGCATTTGTTTCGGCCACGGACCAACTTCGATCTAATTGATTCAACTCACTCGCCGCTGCTTCAGCAATATCAGTCCTACTAGTTGCATCAGTATCTGGCTCCACATTTGTAGGCTCACTCATAATTGTATTGTAAGGAAGTGGTTCTACATCTTGCTCCTGATCTCCAAGCCCGAAACTTCCACTTAGTGTTTCCTCAAGCAATATTTCAATTTTTTCTTTATCTTCTATATGAACAAAACCAAGACGTACGAGTTCATTGGTTAAATCTACAGCAGTATCTTCTTCTGTTACTTGGCATGTTAATTGCCGATTCATTTTGTCATCCATACGTAACAATATAGTCATCGATATGTCTCTACTATCCTCCCTCAATTTTTTTACACTGCACATCATATTTACAATTCGTCGGGATTCAATGTCTATAGGTTCAGGCGTAACTGATTTTATAGAATCTGCACGAACGGGGGACGCAGCTCTGGATCGAAAATGTGGCGGCTTTTTGCCACCTAATGCGGTAAGCGGATACACACCATATTTCACATCTTCAACAAATTTTTCCAGTTTATCAGCTGTTGGAACATCTGCCAAACGATATTCTCTGCTATCACCAGACTGAGTTATTCTTGCCATTATTACATCCGGCCTGTTGTACCGCTGCATCATGGCATCCACTACTGTTTCAGAGAAATTTGTTCGATTTCTGGGCGAGAAGACTAAACAATGTGCGGACAGCAGTTTAAGTGAATGTACCTGTGAGAGAAAATAAATCAGTATGTATAAGAAAACAAATTTTTAACAATATTAATTCACAATTATTAATGACCGACACTACGCATGCAATTGCCTCTAGTTCATAATTCCAATGTTGTACATTTAGCTATCAAATGCCAAATGCGTTGTATGCAAGATGCAATTAATGGATTTTTAATTAACCTTGACCAGTACGGTAGTCCGTACGTTGAAATCTGAGACTATTGATCATCAGCGTTTCCAGATGTGAAGAACAATCAATGCTCACTAATGACAATGTGATTTAAGAAAGGTTTGGAATTTTAGTCATACGAAATCTATTTTTATTAGTATACTTTTAGGTTTTAGTTCTTTTGTTATTTAGCATTCAAAAAACTCAAAATTAATCACAATCAAAATTATGAAACACATTTACTATTGATAAAACAGATTACAAAACAAATGGCAAATATCAAATACCAAACTCATTTCAATGAGAATATGTATGGAATAATGTAGAAAATTCAGGTAAATAATTTTATTATCCATTTAATTATATTCGCACCTCAAATAACAATGGGTGAAATAACAAATCGCTCGCACTTGGCCTCTCAGCTGGATTACGGCGTAAACATTTGAATATCAAATCCCGCTGCAGATCATGTTCCAAACTATTAATAGTTCGTAATATGGTTTCGTCATCGATGGAGTCTGTTACTTCAGTACCACTTGTTGGTTGTATTTCAAGTGCAGCCATTTCTAACGCACACATGCCAAAGGCGTAAATGTCAGCAGCAGCCGTCAGTTGTTCAGCAGCACCATATTCTGGAGCGATAAAATATTGCGATCCGTGATCTACGAATTCAGCTTTATGCTGCCGTACACTGTAGTGCACTGCGTCTGGTACTACAGAACCAATTTTGACCAGACCATTGTGCTGGATAAAAATGCTATCACAGGTAAGGTTGCCGTGAATAACGGGCGGCGTACAGGAATGCAAGTAATTAAGCGCGGAGAGTATTTGCGTGCACCATCGTCGCCATGCTTCTAAAGGTAGTCGTTTTGCATTGCGTTTAGTACGCTTCAGGAACTGTTTTAATGACCCCGATGACATATATTCTGTTATAAATATAACTCGCGGCCTGTCTGAATTTGTTGTATCTGTCCAATAACGATGAAATTTGACTATATTTTGATGATCCAATAATAACAGATTATCGAACACCTGTCGCATTTTGTCTTCTTGACTCTTAAGCTCCTGTAAATTAGCATATTGCACCTCGTTCCACACGACTTCAACACCTTCTTCTGTGTCCATTGCTAAATGCACACAATCAATGCCCGGTACGTCGCGCTGATCAACTTCTTCACGTCGTTTAAGCCATCTTCCACATGGCGATTCTTCCAAAATTTCACTTTCATCTTCCGAATCATCGCCTGATTCCCTCGGCGAATTATCTGCTGCTATATTAGAACCATCTGTAGAAGGTATTTTTAAACCAGAACTGTTTGATACACCAACAACAGGTAAAGTTTGTTGTGTAGGTGCTTGAGAATTACTGCCTCCACTACTAGCGCCGCTGCCGCTGCCACCGGCACCACCGCCGCCACCAATATTTACTTGGTTGTTCGACATAAAATTTACTGCCGAACAATTTAGTTATATTACAGAAAGAAACTGATTTCTTTCTGAGATAAAGGTGTTGCGGTGTGTGCGGGGCGCGGTCTGGCCTTGGATTGTTTGCTGCTAGATACTGTCGCCGCTGCCGCTTATATTTACAAATCAAATTTAATTTGCTTTTATTTGTTTTTGTTCTATTTACTCGTTCGTATGTTCGTTCGTTTCCTTGTTATTTAAAGGCGTTTAATTTATTTATGTTCGCTTCTTTGCTTCTCTGTTATGTCGTGTTATTTTGTCTACTTTTACTTCAATTTCCTTCTCACAATACAGCCGCAGCCCAATTTTAATTTTACTTTTGTTTAATTTCCTTACACAATCGCATTAATTTATATATTATATGTATTTCGTTTTACGTAAAATGCCACCGGTAATCGTAAATCATTACTTTTTGCAAACTTTGTGCAAATAAATGGTTTTTTTATGTTGCAAATTTGCACGTCGAATTAGCCTCACATCGACGACAGAACTTTTGTGGATAACACTGACAGCAGCAATCGATGACTGACCGCTGATTGTTCGTCATAGATGATATCTACTGGCTAAAATAGTAAGCATAAATATTATAACTTGCACTTCAGCTTATAAGTGCAGTGATTTATTTACGAGTTTTTTATAAGTAATCTAAAATGAATTGTTTACATTATAACAATTGCATACACAAAAAATTAATGTGCCAATATAATTTCTTTCGTTTATTGCAACCCTGTTGATGATTAATATTAGGGATGTAGAACATTGTTGGTATCAAACAAAGTAAAGAAACGCACATTTCGGTGCATATACATATTTTGTTTTTGTATGACATATACAAAAAATTATATTCGGGTACTCATATGTAATCATTGCATGCAATATTTACGTTATGTACTTATATGCTAACACATTCCAAAATCGTCAAATAAAATAAAAAAGTAATAAAACTGAAAGAAATCGATATTTATATATTATACATGATTATTTATATTTATTATATATTATTTATAAAAAAAATTGATAACTTATAGTTGTAGCTTAATTGAGCAATAGGTTGAATTTAAAAAGAAAACCAAATTCACTCATTTTAAGAACTACTAGCTTTAGTTATTGAAGAATTTTAAATAATTTTAAATTTTTTCAATTTTAAATTGATTTTTAAATAGATTTTTTTATGCCATTTTAATAATTAATTTAAATTAATATACATAGTGCCATTCAGTAGAGCATGATTATATGATTATGATACCAAGGAATATAAACAAGGAGAGTGAGTACTTGTTTTTAAATAAAAATGTTCAATATAACAGTTTACTACATATTTTTTAAATAGTAGCTCCCAGATCACTCGTGAGCACCTTACTCACAGTGAGCTAGTTTTAGGTCGTTCTGTCACATTAGTATATTAGCACAGCCTTGTTAATACCCCACATGTGTGATTATTAGTCAAAAAAAATGTTTTAAAAAAAAATCGTATAACATTCAATAGCGGTTCTAAATTTTATATAACGTGTATTAAATGTTGGTTTCGCATTGCGTAAGTATATAAATTTAATAAAAACTTTCCGAATCTGTTAAATAAAAAACTAACAGTTTTTTATTCTTATGTATTTTATGTAATTTGAAATGATGATGAAATGATGCAGAAACTATATAATTATATATTATAAATCAATACAAAAAATAAATACATTTAGTTCAAGTGTATATGAGGATCTTTGATGATAAAAACTTCTAAATTTATATACATGTGGCAGCACCAAAAAATATAAACAAAAGAACTGTCAACAAGGCACAAAGGAGACAACAATATCCGCAGTTCCCGCCAGTAGTAGTTTGGAAAAAGACAAAGCAGGACGTGAATAAAACGTAAAAACACAAATCTTAACTTTAAGAATATTTTATAATAACTAAGTATAAGAAATAAATAAACTTATCCATTACCAATACGGAGTGTTCAATTCGAAATAAAACCCAACATAACAAACCACTACATACACAAGATATGACGCAATACAAATTCATTGTCAAATAAAGAAATATATACATCTTTTTTTATTTAACAATATGTTTTTATTGAATCGTTTTTATTTAAGACCTAACAATAAGTTTTAGAAACTTAAAGACTAATAACAGTACATTACGTATCATATTATATATATATACATATATACACTTCAGTGAATTGTATAATATTTTAAGGGGCCTCTAAATAAGTAGCCAGGGAATGTCTATTAAAAAATATATATAACATTGGTATATTTTTACATTGCTATTAAGAAATAAATATTAAAATAGCATAATAATAATTAATTACTACGGCTGTGTACGGCTTCGAGTAAATTGAGGTAAAGTTAATTAAAATTTTCTACAGATTTTTTGCACTGCACTTATGTAAATATTTATTTATTGCACTTGTTAATTATTTTTGGTTAAAAGTTTTCAAAGACCTAATTAACCTAATTTTTATCTAATTTACCCTATTCGAAATATTTGAAAACATACACTGCCATACCGACATAATTTATTATTTCCCTTAATTTACTCGAACACGCACACTACCTACGTAGTTTCTATATGTTACTATAGTAAGGACGTGTGCGAGTTAGGCTAAGTTGATGCTAAACCAAATGGGAAATTTTTTAGGATTTTCTGCACTGCACACATTTAGCCATTGATCAACACGTATTGACACATCACTACATTATCGGCACAACTTAGAATTTCCCTCATTTAGAACGCAACTTAGCCTAACTCGCACACGACCTAAATTATGCATAAAATATTTTGTATGGGCCGCTTGAGTAATTGTTGTATATTAAAAATAACCATTTTGTTTCTATATATTCGAAATACAACACTGTATTTCAATCAAACGAATTTTTTTTCTATATATTCTCCGGTCTTTCGTTACTTACGTGCATAACATAATCTGAAGTCGAATAATATTTATTCAATATTTTAATTTTTTGAACAAGAATTCCGCAATAATGGACGGAATTATTGGACGCAGTCAGTTCTTAGGTGACGCCGCCAACTTATTTATGAATGAGGAAACGGTTAACGCGCGTTCCAAAGTAAGTTTCCGTTCGCTTTTATTTATTTAAGAACAATATTTCTCACAAGGTAAACTTTAGATTGTAAGCTGGTTAAATGAATTAGGCACTCAAACGGATAGTAAAATTAAGTGTGAACTTCTTGCAAAAATACAAGAAATAATATTGGGTGCTGGAGTTGAATTGCTGGATGAATTCCTGGACCACATTCTATCCTTATCACAAGACTCAAATGTAGATGTTCGAAAACAAGTTATAAATTTTATTGAAAAAGCATGGTATTTATTAGTTAAATTATTGGGTATTTTAATACTAATTCATACATTTTGCAGCAAAGTAAAAATCAATTTATTGCCACAATTTATAAATGTTATACCATTACTACTGCGCGACCGGTCGCCTCATGTCATTAAGCGTATGATACAAGTTAGTGGTATGATATATAAAAATGGTTTGCAGTGGATATGCCATAATACAGAGTATAGCGACAGTATCGAGCAAGCTTGGAATATGTTAAGTTTAGTGAAAGCTCAAGTACTTGATTTTATTGATAACGACAACGAAGGTGTACGCACTAATGCTATCAAATTTCTTGAAAACGTCATTGTTGCTCAAAGCTATAAAGATGAAGATACTCAAAAGAGAGAAGGTGATTTTTCGTTAGAAGATATCCCAGAAAATTTAAAAATAATCAAACACCAAAAACTGGAGGATGAGGCATTGAACATATTTAGTATAATATTGCAATATCATGCTGCTACACATATTTCAGCTGTTAACTTAAATACTTGTACTGGAAGTTTATGCACTATAGCCAAATTGAGACCTTGCTTTATGGGTCCGGTTATAAAAGCTTTCAAAAACTTGAGCGCTAACTTCCCACCAACGTTGTCAGATTCCCAAATAAATTCTGTACGCAAAAGTCTTAAAATGCAAGCTCTAATGTTACTTAAGAACCGTGGCTCCTATGAATATCAGGTCATACTGCGTCAATTGCTACTGGATTTAGGGGCATCGCAAAATGAAATACAACGATCAATACCAAAAATGGACAAACAAGAACAACAGCGACGTCAAAAACGTATATTAGAAAATGCAACGTCCAGTTTAAGCAAACGAATGCGTAGAATTGAAGAGCATGAAAATATGGATATTAATAAAAATGCAAGTAATCAAGTAGAAATGGAAGTCGATGAAGAGGAAGTGGAAAAACAACGTACAAAGTGTATACGTGTTAATGAAAAATTTTTAGCAGAACAGTTACGTTCTGTAGATACCGTTGTAAATTTAATAATTCGATTCTTACCAAATATTCCCGGTGAAGTTCCAGAACATTTTCTAAATGAATATGAGCCCATACGAGATATGTCAACACAGTTACAAGTTGCTAACATATCGAAAGCAATGGCCTTGCAAATGACAGCTCATAAAGTTGGTCCAGGAGCCGCAGCTTTTACAAAGGAGCTGCCAATGAGACCTGTGGAGTTACAGACACAAATGGAATCCTTAGCAGTTAATGACAACATAAATGAATCCTTGTAAGTAAATGTGTTAAGCTCAGGTTAGCATAATTGTGCTTAGCATATAAATGCAGCTACTCAGCTGTAAGCATATTTCAGAGCATACTATTTTATTATATTTTTACATTATCGTTTCAATAATTCTGTTTGTATGTTCTAATTTAGGGATCAACCTATGTCATCTGTAGATGAAGATCAGTTGCGTAAAGAGGAAGCTACTAAAAAATTGCGCGAAAATATGGAACGGCTTAAAGGCGAGCAAGAACTGATAGAGCGCATGAAACAACGTGCAAAAACTTTAAAACTGCAAGAAATCACCAAGCCATTTTCACGTTCCGTTAAAGAGAAATTTTTACTTGATGCTGTTAAGCGAATACTTTATGCTGAACGCCAGTGTATATCAGGTGGTGTATCTGCTAAGCGACGCAAAATCGTTACTGTTATTGCGGCCACTTTTCCGGATAATGTGCGCTATTTTATATTTGAATTCATTATGATGGATATTAAACAACGTATTGATTTAGCATTCTCATGGTTATATGAGGAGTACTGCCTGTTACAGGGTTTCACGCGTCATTGTTATGTGAAATCTGAAAATCGTCCAGATTATGCTTACAACGAATTGTTAAGTCAAATTGTTGAACGAATTATTACAAACTGTGATTTTAAAGACAAAATACTTTTGCTACGTCGGTTCTTCTTAGAAGCTCCTATGCTACCAGATGATGCACTTAATAAACTGATACAAATGTCTTTTACTGAAGAATATACGAATTATTCCATGGAATTGCTGAAGGATTTAGCTATATGGCGACCGCCCCGTAAAAATAAACTGATAAATGTTTTATTAGGATTTTGTGTACATGAGCGAGTAGATGTACGTGAACGGGCAATGGATCAAATAATTGTCCTATATCAGCAACATAAAGTATTGCCAAATCGTATTGAAGATTTTGCATTGCAATGGATATCTCATCTAGAAAAAGAGACTCCTCCTGCAAGTATATTTTTAACTGAATATGGGCGGCCAGAAGTAGAAGTAGCCTGGAAGGAAGAAACAGCTAAGATTTGTTTGGGTGTACTACTAAAATTGCTTCCATGTAACACAAAACGTAAGGGCTTCAAATCTAAAAATAAAAACTATATAAATATTTATTATTATTACAGTTTTCCTGAAGAAATTGAGTGAAGTCTTCGCTATAACCACGCAGGATTTAAAACGTACCATACTGCGTAGTATAGATTCGGCTATAAAAAAATTAGGACCTGAGAATCAGGAACTGCTTAATCTAATTGAGCAGTGCCCGAAAGGTGTTGAAACACTTTTGATACGCATGATATATATTTTGACAGATCGCGTTTATCCAATCAACACAGAACTTGTAAGACATGCAAGGGACATGTACAGTAATAAAGTTAAGGATGCACGCGTACTTATACCTGTTTTGAGTGGTCTTACGAGGCAGGAAATTCTTATTGCTTTACCAAAGTTTTTAAAACTGAATCAAGTTGTAGTAAGGGAAGTATTTAACCGTTTGTTGGGTATTGGCGCGGAATATGCTAATCAACGTGTAGCCACCACACCACCGGAAATTTTAGTTGCACTACATACAATCGACTTAAGTGTTTGTGATTTAAAGTCAGTCTTAAGAGGTACATCAATATGCTTGTCCGAAAAAGATGTTTACACTCAGGAGGTAATGATTGGAGTGTTACAACAGTTAGTGGAAGTAGTACCACTTCCTACATTGTTAATGCGCACAATTATACAAAGTTTAACGCTATATCCAACGTTAGCTAATTTTGTTTTAAATTTATTACAACGTTTAATATTAAAACAAGTTTGGCGACAAAAGGTTATCTGGGAAGGATTCTTAAAATGTATACAACGTCTTAAACCGCAATCATTACCAGTATTATTACACTTACCGGCTAAGCAACTGGTTGATGCCTTACAGCAATGCCCGGATTTGCGGGTCCCACTGTTAGAATATGCTGAGAGTATACAAGATGAGCCCATGAGTGGTATAACTCCACAAATAATGGATATAATCACTGGAAAAACAGTTGATGTTTTTGTGACGGTAAAAAAAATATAAAATGAAATTTTATTTTATTTTATTATGAAATTTTATTTTTTTTTATTTACAATTTATGACATATGTTTATTTAATTTTTACTTAAAAAATTTCTTACTATTTTAGGATGAAACTGGTGGATATATAACAATTGATAATATAAAAAAAGAAAAGGAAGAACCCGATGAACCTATTGCAATAAGTACAGTGTCTTCGTTTACATTAGTACAGCCTGCGCGTGTTGGATATTCAGACCCTTCGCAACCGCTGCCTCCGGGAGAAGATTAACAGATCTTCTTTCCTTACTTTTAATAATAAGGAACTTCAAAAAATTGTAGACTTCAAACCTGAAATATTTTTGTTATTATTTTAACACTTTTGTTAAACTATCTGGTCTAACATATATATGTTAGTCTAGATAACTAGAATAAGTTTAAATCTCAAGGATTTTTGTAAAATTATTAATTAATTTTATATGTTATCAATTGTTCAATTTAAATGAGCACAAAAAATTTGAAAATATATGACGACAAATTATTTGTTGTTTAATTTTTATTTTTGATCAACTTTGAACGGATCTTTCACACAGATATGTAATATGTATATTTATGTCCTTCGTTCACGGTAACAGATTCGATCATATACGATGCAATAAAGGGTTTTATATTCAATTTTAAATCTATGTACAAATTAAGCATAGAATAGAATATCCTATTATAAAATACTTCTGCTACGATTTATTTATTTATATTTATATATAATTATGTAGTAATTTAGTAATATTTGTTTTCCTACTATTTTAAAATAATGCAGACATTCTAAGAAAAACTTCTGGATTGTTTTTTGTTACATTCTAGCTTCACGTTCTGTAAGTTGTTTTAAGGTCCAAATAATTTAAATGAGATAAATGAATATATGTATGATTAGAAAGATATTGGGTATTATACTAAGAAGTTTATATATTTCTTCGTTTTGAGATAAGAGGGTTTTTCTTTTAATTTAGCTGTTAATCTGGAAAATTATTAGATGATATTAAGCACTATTTAATGTTTAAAGTGAAGAATTTGATCAATTCTGCGGCTTTTCTTATAAAAATGTCAGCAAACGTATTCAAAATCCAATTACATATATTTTTATTAAATTCATTTCGCAAATCTTTTAATTACATTTTCATATGTACAGTTTTTAAATAAAAATTAAATGCGAATGCTTTGAAAAATTTGTTTAAATTTGAACTTCTGCAATCATTTTATCACCACTGAATGCAGCCAAAATGTTGCAGGCTGTTATCCGCGACATTTCGATCCGAGTATTGACATCAGCACTGCCGATATGCGGCAATATAACAGCATTGTTAAGTGTAAGTAGTGGGTCGTCCAAGGGTAATGGTTCAGGTGTCGTCACATCAAGTCCAGCACCAAGTATTCGCTGCTCCTGCAGTGCTTCACGTAAAGCGGATTGCTCTACAACACCACCACGTGCAGTATTAATAAAAATAGCATTCTTTTTCATTTTAGCAAAAGCTTCTCTATTGAATATTTCCTTCGTTTCTGGGGTTAGAGCACAGCATGCAATTATAAAATCAGATTCACGTAACATCTCATCGAAACTAACAAAAGCTGCTGAAATCGCAGAAGCTGCCTCCGGTTTTTCTGTGCGTGATGTATATGTTATTTTTGCTGGTTTAAATGGTACTATACGAGCGGCAATTTCCTGTCCAATTCGACCAAAACCGAAAAGACCTACACGTGAACCTTTCAAACCATTACCACACATCCAAAATGGTGCCCATGACTTCCAACCGCCATTGTAGACTTCCTTGTTTGCCTCAAAAAGTCTACGACTAGTGGCTAATAGTAAAGCTAGCGTCAGCTCAGCAGTTGCATCGGTCAATACATCTGGCGTATAACCAACGCGTATACCACGTTTATTACATGCAGCCAAATCAATGTGCTCATACCCAACAGACATTGTCGATATGCATTTAAGTTGTGGGCCTGCTTTTTCTATTACTTCATTATCAATCTTATCCGACAACGTGCAAAAAAGAGCATCTTTTCCAACCACATGATCAAGCAAATCTTTTCTTGCTATAGGATAGCTGCCACTCCATGTTTCTACATTACAACTGTTCATAAACAAAATAAACTAAAATAATTATAATAAAATTATACAGATTACTCTCACCTTTCTTTTAAAAGCTTTAAACCTATGTCAGGTACATCAGCCCGAGTGATAAATACGTTCTTAGGTTGATTGTTCATCTTACGAGATAAGTTCCGATTATGCTTACTGCCATAAAATATCGCTGACGTGTGAAAGGTGTTCCATTTAGGGAGCAACTGGTGCATTCCTATGCAAAATAACTGGTTTTGTTTTGAATTTAAGAAAGTTTTTGAGAACATATGTTCTAATCATTTTTACAGAGTTACATTAGACTTTAATGATTAGAAGTAATTAGTACAAAACATTTGGTACTCTGGAACATGGCAAATACTATATTCCACGCAGTAATAATATTCTGGTATTCTCTATAATAAATTAGGATTGAAAATGTCCTTATAAAACCAAGTGTTTATGCGTTAGGAATACGATTATTTAATATAAAACTACATAACGGACATTTTTCGTTACGGCTATTACAAAATATATTGGTTTGATTACCATTTTCGCACTGGTATCGGTTAATTTTAGTTTAGTTCTGGAAGAATTAATTTATGTAATTAAATTACAAATTAGTTTTTTGCCATGATTAAAATCATTTTATTTATAAATCGTTGACTATATCAAAGCATATAGTTAATGAATCTACTTAATAGAAAACAAATTTTCAAGTTTTAATAACTAAAGAGAATTAATTGATAGTGAACTATAAAATGCTGAACCAAGATAAACCGATTTATCTATAACTAAATATGAATAATTATTTCTTTTTTTTCGGTAGATGGAAAGCATCGAAAGCGACAGAAATGAGCGAAATTTCAGCCATTGGACCGTAAAGGTCAATCCTCAAACCTAATTCCAGTAATCAAGAGAAAGGCAGACATTACAATACATTGTAAACAAGAAAGGAGGATGTTCTTGTTAGGTAGTAACTGTTGACGATTGTAAAGCGGGATTACACGAGCGACATGTACAATGTCGTCCAATTGAGTTGGGTAAAAAATATCAGGGAGAATTCTGTAGTGCTTAGTAAATAGTCTTTGCGCCAGAGATAACATAATGTCATATAATTGATAGATATTAGAAAATTTGTAGATAGAATTGCGATAGAATTAAAATAAATATTATTAATGCGCTTTTATTTAATTCTTAATATAAATTATTTTCTACAATAAAAATTATACGCATAAATATATGCGTTGCTAATAAAATAAAGTTGTTATATATGCATAAATAAAGAAAATATTAATAAATTGTTAACTACAAAATATGCAGCATATATAATAATAATAATTTAAAGTAACTTTAGGTGTAATAATTGATATATATGAGAATTATGATATAAACCAAATAACTTATTAATTGCAATCTTGTAAATTTATTTAAATTTCCATTATGCGATAAATTTGGTATCATTATTAAAAATTTGTAAATGTTGGCAACTCTAATCAGCTGTATTAGCATGTGTTTGTAAAAAAAACAATAACAAAGTTTTGTTGGCTTATTCTGACTTCCAAAGTTATATGTTTTTATTAATAAGTTCAAGAAGTTATGCGAAGAATTTTAATTAGTAGCAATCGTATCATTCAAAGACAGTTTAAACAATATCAAACTAATTTGACAAGTTCTGAATTTATAGCACCTAAAACCATGGATGTGAAATTACAACCAATGGGGGTAGCCACTCGAATGCGAGAGAACCCGGCTTTTACAAAAATTGATTCTCCAGAATTTCGAAGTATATTTACACCGGAACTAAATGCGCTTATAGAAATTTTTACGAAATATAATTATGAAATACGCATTGCTGGTGGTGCAGTGAGGGATATTTTGATGCATATTCAACCAAAAGATGTGGACTTGGCCACCACTGCAACACCTGAGCAAATGAAAAAAATGTTCGAAGAGGAAAATGTACGTTTGATAAACGCAAAAGGCGAACGCCATGGCACAATTACACCACGTATTAACAACAAGGAAAATTTTGAGGTCACAACACTACGTATCGATGTACGCACTGATGGACGCCATGCGGAAGTGCAGTTTACAAAAGATTGGCAATTAGACGCCAATAGACGCGATCTTACAATAAATTCTTTATTTTTGGGATTTGATGGCACTTTATATGATTATTTTTATGGTTACGATGATTTACAGCAGCGGCGTGTAGTATTTGTGGGAGATGCCAGTGTACGTATACAGGAGGACTATTTGCGGATTTTGCGTTATTTCCGTTTCTATGGTCGTATTGCTGCAGAAGCACATAAACATGATCAAGAAACTTTAAGTGCAATAAGTGCAAATGTTGATGGTTTGAAACGTATAAGTGGTGAACGAATCTGGACAGAGCTACAAAAAATTGTGGTTGGTAATTTTAGTGAAGAATTAGTTTTGGAGATGATAAACTGTGGCGTAATAGCTCACTGTGGTCTACCACTCAATCCTAATGTTGTTGAATTTCAACGACTTTGTAGAGATCTCAAAGGATTCAGTACGCCGCATTATCCTATTTTGTATCTAATTAGTTTGTTACATACGCACGAAGATGCAATAAGTTTACATGAGCGATTAAAATTGTCCGCATATGAGAGAGACCTTGCTTTTTTCATAACACAACAAAGACATAAGGTGAACTAGTATAACAAATAGTTTTCATTTTTTAAAATAATTTGTTCTTCTCGCACAGGTTGACACAGAATTAGTAACGTTACAGGATTACCAAAAACTGTGCGTTCATGCATTTGCTAAACGAGATTTTGTTGAAGAATTGTTGAAATACTGCAACAAGAAGAATTTGTACGAATCACTAAAGGCATGGAAAATGCCCAATTTTCCAATTAATGGCAATTTATTAAAGGAACGCGGATGTCCGCTTGGTAAAAAAATGGGTTCTGTAATGCTACAGTTGAAAGTGATATGGGCTGATCATGATTTCTCAATATCCACTGAAGAATTACTTGATAAACATCTTCCAGAAATATTAGCAAAGATTACTCCGCCAACTACGCCAGCAAAAAAAATGAGACAGTCATAGCGATGATAAATATAGACGAATGTGATTAATTTATTATTTTAAAAAAATAAACAATTTATTTAAAAATACTAAATGTATTATTATAGTAGCTCTGCCTAAATTATAATTTTGTAAATATCTGTATTGGTCTTTTGAAGCCCGCGGTACAATCGTCAGGTACGCCCATCAATTCCATATAATTGAAACCCACCTCTTCGCTAAGCAAATAGTCAGTAAATTGTTTAGGAAAGAATTTTATACTTTTATAATTTGACGCAATTTCTTCCTGAAAGATATAATAATAATTTATCAATGTATTATTCACATATTAAGTATATAACTTACACTTAAGCTTTGTCGTTTAGCGTAATTCTTAAAGGTTTGCGCTTCCAATATTAATTTACCGCCACTATGTAGTTGTAGAAACATACGTCGGAAAGCTTGCTTTAAGCCGGCATCACCGAAGTTTAACTGAATCCATTTCGTAACCGAAAGGCATAATATCACATCAAATTGTTGTTTTTCAATTTCTAGCAATATATCGTCCCTCAGCACGTAATTGCCATGCAGGAAGTGTACATTAAACGGAAAGTCTTGTCTCTTGACTGCGTTTTGTTTAGTTCCAGCATAATTTTTCTTTTTCACAATATTCTTAATTGCTTTGTTTATGAGACTTCGGTCAATGTCAAGTCCAACAATACTCTTAACGTTAAATAATTCTGCAACTTTTGTTGTTATGAAGCCACTATTGCATCCAATATCCAATACTGTTTTATTAGTAAATAAATGACTATCGTTTTGAAAAACTGCTAGACGTCGATCAAAAGTTGCGTTATTGCGATAGCCGTAATAGTTTGTGTAATTTCCGTAAATGAACTTTTTATTTGCATCTTTGTATGCTACATTTTTTGTATTTGAGATTTCCAGTCGTTTTTTAGGACTTTTACTTACAAGTGCATTCAGATGATTGTTCTTAAATCCTGAAGGTTCTTGCTCAGACTGTCCATCATCTTTGGATTTTGATGCAACTATTGTTTCATCCAATTTTTGTACTTTAATTACATCGTGACAAGTTGAGACTTTTCGTTTGCTGCCTTTTATTTCATTTGCATTTTCCTCTAAACACATTTCAATAACATCCTCCATTTTATCGTACATATTAAATATATTCTAAACCGCATTTTACTGACGAAATAAACAATGCGATTTTAAACATTTGTCACATAATTCACCACGCTCACATTGACTGACCACAAATCAAAACAAACATGTGGTGAATATTAATTCGCTGAGTGCACACGAAAATATATGTGCGATGTTGCTTATTTCTTGCCGGTAGAGTCGTTTGAATCGCAGCGAGTTCTCTGATAGTAGCGAGTTTTTGTTGGGTTGCTAGCACATTTACATTAATTATTAATGAAGTTAAATAAAGTATATGCAAAAAATTTTAATTAATGTAATTATTACATTAATGTAATTATTACTAGAATAGTCTTTTCAAGTCAAAAATTATTTTAATTAAATACAAATATATTTATAAATATTCTACTGTATTTATACTATTATACTATTATTAAATGTTTTTCATAATTTCAAAAATTATTTTAATTAATAATTATTTAAAAGTTCTTGTTCAGTTGATACTTAATATCTTATTTGGGATACTCATCAAACTCCTTATTGACTTAGACTATAAACCTTGTAACTGCCTTAATACAAAACAATTTACATAGAAATTTAAAAACAAAATCTTATTGCAAAATTAACATTACGTTTACACCGGATAGAATTCAGCAAGATTTTTGAATTCTCACACACTCTCACATTTTCACTAACACATACAAATGATTTCTAATTCTAGACATAATTCTAAAATAATACGTATTTGCAATTGAAACTTGAAAAAGTTTAGTCAGTATAGACTTCAAGTACAATAAATTTTATTAGCACAATAAATGAGATCGAGAAAAAAAAATATTGTCATCCTTTACCAAAAAAATTTAATGTTTCTATGCAAAATGCTATTTTAAGTTATCTAAATCATATAATTTGCACATTAATGAGAGCAACTAAAGAAATGTGATAAAAAATCGTATATAAGAACTTACTCTTTCTACGTTAATGGTAATCAATTAGTTTTTGATTTTAGATGTTAAATCTTAAATCAAAAACTAATTTTTTAAGTAATTTCTTTAATTTAATACAACATCATTGCCTATTTATATTGCAGCCAAGCATGGTTTCAAGCCCGTAGTGATACGGTCTTTGGTTGTTTTAACATACAATTTTTACGTTATTGAAAGAGTAAGATATAAATAAAGACACAGTAAGTGACGCCATCTACAGCCTGAAATTATGCTATGAACTGCAAAGACCGTAATATTGCGAAAACGATAAAATCCGCTTAAAAATGCTGCGTTATTGGATGTTTTCGATAACATAATGTTTTTGTTTAAATTTGTTTTTATTTTTAATTGTTACCCTAATTATTGTTAACATTATAGTTTCTTGTTATAGAGGTAATGTAAGCATTACCATTGCTTACATTGGTAAACAATGCATCTATAGTAATGCATTTTGCATTGCTATAGCAGTATTTGAAAGTGCCCTTTTCTCAACTTTTATATAAAAAATTAGAAAATATTTATATAAATTTTATTGATACATTGATTTGAATGCTTTTAAATAAGGAATTAAATGTTCCAATTAATGATGCAGTAATATATTTAAATTGTGTAAGATAGTTTGTTCATGCATTCTGCGAGCCATTGCAGAATTTATGTTGGTAATTTTTATTAGCATTTTATGTATGTTTATGTTTATGGATTGACAACAGTACTATACAACTTTTAAAGAAATATATCTATTTTAGCTATAGGTTTTGTGCGAAAAATGTTGAGTTCAATATGAGAGCACACTTCAACATGCCAAGAGACATGACATATCTTTTACTATAATAGCATTTGTTGGTGTTGTAACTTTGCAGTTAGGGACTTAATATCTTTAAGACGCCTTTTCTTACCGACCTGACCTGCAATATTAAGAAAATAGTATACGTAAAAAGCAATGGTGTTATGCGTAAAAGAAATGGTGCACAAGCCACTCCAACCTTACAAATCTTCAAGTTTTAAGATGGTAGTGGTAGATTAGAAATAACGTTTGTGTTCACGAAATAACTTTCGTGAACTGAACAACTTTCAGATATTTAAGAACGATTGAATACACATAGCTGCATCTTAACATCTTACTTACCTCCATTATGTCACCCTCATTTGATCCTTATTACGACAACAATATGATAATTTTGAAGATAAATAGAAAATTAAATTTCAAAATAATTTTAAGCTACATAAATTAAGCTGACCCTCAATTGAAAACATATATATTAACACACAAAATAAAATTATGCTGTGTCGATGAACTTCAAGCCTTTTTCCAAAAACTTGGCATACGTGTTCTTTACATCTAACTTAAGTGGAATCTTCTCTTTTGTGCCAAAAACAGTAATGCCTTTATAGTACATATTGTCGTTGCTGACTCTTCTCTGTCTAAAATTCGGAGAATCCAATCTGGACACGAATATGTAAATTGCCTACTGCATTATACCATAGAGTACGTAAACATATGAAACAGAATAGATCGTAAAAACTTTCGAATACTTGAAAATAATATTCCTTCTCATCAGTATCTTTAATCCTTTTAAAAGTTGCGAAACCATGAAAGTATTTGATGAAGAAGATTATACAGGTAATGACGACTGCCATATATAAAATTAAAATACTTGTAAACGAAAAATGCGTTATAATCCATTCATAATTTTGGATGGATCTTCTACCGAAAAATTAGATGGAATTGAATAAATTTTTCTTGCAAAAAAATTTGTGAAAACTAAATTTAATTTTGTTAGAGGATTGTAGGAGAAAGAATATTTAAAAACCATTACTTTTGTGTTGTAGCATCTTAGTAGAGGAATAAATACTGATCTCATTGAAAGATGTTTAAAAATATATCCATAATTAGGTTTTAAAAGTAATAGACGAAAACGATTATAAGAAATCCAAATCAAACCCAAATCTATTGTGAATTAAAATCCTATTTGGCAGAGCCAAGATTGAAATAACAATTGGATTCAGTGCTAATAGGTGACTGGCCAATTGACACCAATGTCGAGAAATTGTACGTTTCTTTAAACCAAATTTGAAACAAAACTGTAGAGAAGAAAAGGAAACAATTGAACATGAACACTTCCTTTGCATATGCCCAATCCCGGCAATATTGAGACATTCTACTATGGAAGTATATAAACTAATGAGCCTAGTGGACGTACTAGGCTAAAGAAACTAAAGAAAAATAATTTTCTTTATCAAAAGTTTTGTTTTTAAAACTATTATATTCACGACCGGGTTTGTGGTAACAAAAACCAACTAAGCAATCATTATAAATAAATATGAGAATATGGGCATAAAAAATAATTTGTGAAAACATGGAGTGAAAGTGGTTTCATAATGTATAAAACTTATAGCATATCATATTTGTTGACTAAATATACCGAATACATGTATATGTTTAATTATGTGTTACAACTATACTTTATATTTCGCTTATTGTGATGTCATATGGTTGACCGTAGGGTGCTATTTATTTCTAAAAATTTTTATTCATTTAATGTTCACAAGAACCTTTTGGTCAACCGGTTTTTAAATAAACAATTCTTAAAATGCAACGGTCTTTTCATCTATGAAAGCATTTGTCTTTGGTCCAGCACCATCAACCCCTTTTGTAGAATTTAGGAATAAAATTTTTGTATTTGAGACGGATGATGCATCATATGTAATATGTATAATAATAACTTTTTTTGAGAATTGTTTTTAAATTATAAAATATAAAATATAATTACTATATAATAATAAAATTAAAAAATATAATATAAAATATGTAAATAAAACTTTATAAAATTTGTGTCCCATAATATACATTTTTTTTGAGTACTAAGCAATAATTTAATATTTTCGTTCTAAATTTTCTTATCTTTCTTATTATATATATTATAAATAAATACTATAGGTTATACTATAGGGTTATCCATTTTGAGTTTATGAAAGTAAACACAAATAATACACTTAGGATTGTGATTTTGACCAATTTCTTACTTTTATTTATTGTTTGGACTTTACCATAATATGTAAAATAATATGTATCTCAATATGAAATGTATCTCAGGGGCCATCTAACAGTAATGGATCCTTATGGCGATATTTTTAATGACTTCTTGGTACATAGTTGGCAATAGATCGGCCAACTATGGTAGCAAATCGCCCGATCTTGTTGACTAATTAATGTTAACAAAACGTGAAATTACACGTCTGTAATATTTCACACTCAACAATAAGTACATGTTGTGTGGCTTGCGTCCTGTTAAACTATGACATTCTATGTCTATATCATTTATTTCGAACCAAAAAAGTTAAAAACCATATAGATGTAGCAATCAAAATAGAAGGTTTATATCACACCCTTGTTATATTTAAAAGCACACATCTCCGCATGCAACTCTATATAGTGTATGTTCAATGGTCTTTCGAATGCCTGGAGAATTTACTGGAAGGGAATTACAGGAAGCAAAATAGATGACTGGATAATTTGTTGACATATCTACTAAGCTAAAAATGAGAGTCATTTTTCAAAGCACTGTTTTTGTCCAACCAATCAATTAACTTATAGACCATGTATTACATGGTATATGTTGTAAAATGGTAAACTTTTTATGAAATATATGATATTTTGAAAGACAATTTGTTTAACATATGTCGCTGAAAAAAACCTACCAAATCAGAACTATTAAATGTACACTCCTTAATTTTTTGAAGTTCTGTACTTTTCTGGGGTAAAAAGTTTTTTTTATTATGTGATTTTTAATTGTATTGCAACAGATATAGTCCTCCGATTGCTGGAGCTGGACTATACTGGATATGTTCCTAATACTTTTCTTTTCAATGTGATATTTTTGCTGCAGTCATTGTCAAAAATTTAATTTCTTGCATTAGTTTTGTTCTTATCAATGATTGATATATTTTACGGAAGAGTGTTCTGATATTTTCCATGTAAAACTATATATAAATCTATTCATTTAATGTTTTAATGCATACTTGATATTAAGATAATAAATTTTAAAGGTAATTTGTGTCAATTTTTGTACGTATTTTTATTGACAAAGTGGAACAAAGGTTTAGGATATTGTTGTG